GCAGTGCTTATACACCTGGCCTTAAATCAAGGTTTACTACCAGTACTGAATTTACAAAGATGAGAAAGTATTGGGAAAAAAATAAAGCGCAGTTTTTTTTTCAAGACTTCACGATAGACGAAAAAATATTAAATAAAATAATTTCGAAAAGTTAAAAAAAAACAAAATTTTCTATGATTTTGCACGAAAAAGAAAGGTATAAAATATTGCACGTGACTTACGAAAAAAACGAGTTGATCCAGTTTTTCAGGTATTACATTCATTTAATACGAAGTTTATATTAAAATGTGTTGCAAGAATTTCGTGTACAAGTTTAAAAGAAAGGAATAAGAAAGTCCGTTTTCATTTCGATACATTTTTTCAAATATTTTTTAATTTAATAAAAATATTCTTTTATCAAATATTCTTAAATTAACTTCTTTCATGTTATTTAAAGTGTTGTTCCTTAACAAAAAAATAACTTCATATGCAAAGAAAACATAAGAGGAAATTATAAAGGAATTAATCTTTTCTCATTATTTAAAATGCATGAATATTTCACGATCAACTAATGTCCGACATTATTATCAGAGTATATATGTAGACCGGATTTTCGCAAAATTTTGTAAGTTTGAAAAGTTAGGACTTATATACTTATATTAATCGACTTATATACTCGAATTTACGGCACTTCTTGACTAGACCCCCTGAAAAAAAAAGACTTTTTTCTGTAAAAAAATATTGCTAGGATATGCATATTGAAAGAAAATCTAAAATTCAAAACTATATGTGTAATTGTATGCCGTACGGGAAAATACTTTATAGTAAATAGCTTCCAATAAATTATTTTCATTTCATTTTTACTTTCAAAACTATTAAATTTTATAACCGATTTTTCTTTGTCGTATTTTAATATCCTAAACTTTTAAAATGAAGTTTATTAGAAAATTGTGTAATTCTTCACACTTTTTTCTCTCTATAGAAAACAATCTTCGTCTGTTAAAAAATTTAATTGCATAGTAAAATTCAGTAATAGATTTTAAATTTTAGTGTCTATTGTTATTTATTGGATCCCTAAGGCTGTTGCTTCCTCTTTTTGTTCGCCCTTGTCTTCGCGGATTATAGAGAAAGTAGGTTATATATGTTGATTACACAGAAAGTGACTCGTAGATGCAAAAAAGAATTTCTGTTTAAAACGGTTTTCAGGGAAGGTTATTTCAGATTATGTAAATTGTTTAGGAGGCTCGTCTTTGATAAGGAAAGAAAGATAATCTTTCTGCAATTCCGATTTATCGATATCGCTTTCAACCAATCGAGTTAAAAAATCAAACTCTTTGTGGCAGCAAAAAAAAATCGAACCACATTCGATAAACGATCTTCAAACGATTCCGCAAAATACGCATTTGATTTAATAAATAAAAAGTATATCTAAAGGGACATATAATTTTATCGCGGTACTATCTTCAAAATCTCAAAGAGTAAAGCGGAAAAACAGATAAAAATGAGCTTATGTTTGTTTTCGTTATTTGGCCTCTTGTAAATATGAAGGAAAAAAAAAAGCAAACGACATTGCCACGCGCCTTCTAAAATTTCTTTAATTCAAGGACTTAGAAGGCAAAAACCTTATATAGAATTATGGCGAGAATATAGCTGCCACTAAAGCGATGATTTTTAGCATTGCGGAAGTTGCCAAGAATAAACAATAGCTTTCATTTAAGAAATCGCTTGGAGATGCATTCATTTTGATGAACAAGATATACATCGCGTTTTTTGAGAAACTAAAACCGTTCTTAGAATTTCATCAATCATAAGTCCATCTTCCCTTTTTTTCCCTAATGGTCATATCAAAATATATTTGTCTATTATGCTAGCCTGTAAGTACATGAAATATGAGATGCGATCCATCTTATTAAGTTTCTTTAGTAAAGTACACAGTAAAAAACACTTAAGGATAATTCGAAAAAAACAAGGCATGCATTTTATTAACTAGGCAATCATTTTTAACGTTGTTCACTTCAAATAATGATTTTAATCTCTTCGGAAATAATATTCTAAGACAGTGATTCTCAGCCTTTTTTTTGTTGCGGCACACTTTTAACGACTTCGAAATTTGACGGCACACAATGAAAAAATTAGATTAAAAGTTGTTTAATTACCTATTTTACACTGTGTTAAATAGTTTGCGATAATTTCGAATGTGAAATAAAATAATGTGTACTACAAAAGCACATTTATTAAGGGATTAATTATTTCTTTCAACCAATTTTTTATTAGTTAGTAACAGTTTTTTTTTGCTAGTTATTAATTGTTAGCTTGTTTTCTATTGTTATTAACTGTTAGTTTTTTTTTTACATTAACTGTTATTTTTTTGTGATTTCCTGTTAACTAGTTTTTTTTTGCTAATTGTTAATTGTTAGCTTAATTTTTGTTAGTTATTCTATGTTAATTTGCTTTTTATATCTTTGTTTTTTTTAGTTATCCTTTGTTAATTTGTTTATTAATTGCATAGCTTACTTTAATGATTAGCTCTTACAACATTTTTTTAATTTGTGCGTCATACACAATTTAAACAACCATCTTATTTTAAGACAACCCTCTTATTATCAGAGACAAGACAATCGCCGACAAAGATGTTCACGCGATTAAAGCGTGGAAAAATAATAAAAAGTATACATATATATGCACTTTTCTTTAATTTAAACTTTACTCATAATAAAAAAAAGGCATTATAATTTTTATTGTATCATTTTTAATATTTGGCGGCACATTTTAAAAATTTAGCGGCACACAAAAGTGCCGCGGCACAGTGGTTGAGAATCACTGTTCTAAGACCTAGACTTATGTTAAAAGAAGCATGGTTTTGTAAATAAAAGAAAAAAAATATTAGAACAAAAATCATACTTTAGAAAAACATATTTTTCATATTTAGATCTGGCTTTGCAGAATAATTCTTGGTCTTTAAAATAAAGACTTTCATTTTAATTTGTCCTAAAAAGTTTTATACGAAGTCAGTAATGAATACAATTAATTGGTATTGTATTAAATTATTAATTGGTGTTGATTACCAATTAATAATTGGTAATCAGTACATCACAGAATACTGTGATATACAGACATTATCTTAATTTTGCTTCCATGTCTCTGAAGGTGAAATACAGTTACAGCCCGAGGCACTTTAACATCCAATCGATGTAGATACAAGCATTATTAAAATTTTTTTTTCAGAAATTGAATTTTTTGCACATTTCTAGATAAATAGTTTTTAGCTATCAATTTAATAATTAAGTTTATTTTATAAGACAAAAAATTTATTACACACAAGAAAAGTATTTATTTTTAGCAAATTGGCAATGTATTGAAAGAAAAAGCCAACCGGATGTGTAGTGGTCAAGGAGCTGACCACACACCAAAAAAGTACTGGGTTTGAATCCTGGACAAGGCAAGGATGTTCTTTCATTCTCTGTGCTATCTGTCGTTACTGCGGGAGCAAGGTCGGCCCACCCAAATCTGCCCTACTGATACTTGAAAGACAAGTGTCAATCAGGTGGGCATCGGAAAAAAATCGAAAGAAAAGTGGATTTAGAATTAACGCTTAGCATTCAAAACTGTATCATTAATTAATAAAAAACTATTAATGCATTGAAAAAACATCTAATGTATGGAAACTATGTATGCAACATACATATTGTTGAAATTTCTACTAACTTGAATTAAAATTTTACGAAGTGATTGAGTTACTGTTTTAAAAAACACCATTAAAGTTCTGTGCATTTTACGATTCAATGCAAAGAACTAAACTCAATGGGGCGACAGCCCATACAGGGCCAAAGCCTACTGTGCTAATCTCAGTTATCCTGACCTTTAAGCTCTGGGGTGCAAAAGTAGATGTTCCGGTTGGGTGGTCAGCCCAAAGCGGAACCCCCAGTGTTTAGTTTTCAAGCATGCTTGGTATTAATTTTATCGACCCATTGAAGGGATGAAAGTCTGAGTTAACCTGGTCTGGCCCCGAGGGTCGAACCAAGGACTTGTGGCACAACAGCGTTACCACTCAGTCACCAGTCGTCAATGCAAAGTATAGATACTTAACATTTTTTGCATAAATAATTAAGAATAGTTTTGAAAACTATATTAGGATAGAGATGTTAGTTTTAGTTGCTGGAAAAACTTGGAGAAATAAGAAACAGCTAAACAAATAATGCTATAATAAATGAAATAGTATAGCTGAACTATCATCTTTAACAGGGTGCATAGTCAAATCTTTCAACAAAAAATAAACACTTTTTAAGCACTCAAAAAATATTTTTGATCACTATATACATTAACAAAATGCAAATTAATTTAAAACTTTACAAGAACATATAAAATAACTAGATTCTGACAAAGAACTCTTTTCTTGATTATATTTGCCATTATAAAATGAGATTTTTTGGTTCGATATCAGAGAGTGTAAAATGAAGCCTGAAATTGAGAATATCTTGAAAAATGCATCAGAGTTGCACACGAGAGTGCAATAATCTTACCAAACTCAGTTCAGTAGACGCACATGCGGACTCGCAAGTATTTCATCAAACATGTAAAATGATTGGCGCTTTCATACGCTACGGACCGACTTTAAGCCGAAATAGATTGTGGATGAATTAATTGTGAAAACGTTGAATAGAACAATGTGAAAAGCACAATACGTGTCGAAAATCGAAATGGTAAAGAAAAAAAATCTCATTATTGAAAAGGGAAAATTAAGCACTTTTTAAAAACACCTCATGAAAAAAGCACCTTTAAGGGCTTTTAAAAAACCAAAATCGAAAATAAAATCAGCTTTAAGCACTTTTTAAAAACGCTACGCACCATGCTTAAATATTCCATAAATTGTACTTTGAGAGGTCTGTATTTTTAAAAAGACAAAAATAAGAAATACAATTCCCTATTTTATCCAAGTTTGTAAGGAAAAAAAATTAAAAATCTGCATTTTCCAGGTTTTCCCTATAGAGTAGCAACTATGAACAATGAAACCACCACAGATATTTCAATTGAAAAATTTATTAACAAGTGTAGACACAATGAAAACTTTTGTAAAGAACTAAAACATCTTTGAACTAAGGAAATGATTTAAAACTATAATATCTTTTTCTTCTTCCAAATTTATATCACAGTACATAAAAAAAGAACCCTAAGATCTACTTATTCTTTGAAACGAGATTATATAAAAAACTATTGCTAACTGGGAATATCTGAGCTTGAATAGTAAAAGAACTATTTGTCTTTCTAGAGATTGGCTACTATCATGAACTTGATCTAAGTTTCCAGTATTCTTCGGTTTGCATTTCTGTAAGTCGAGATGCAGTTCTATCAAATGCAAATACCTCCTCTTCACCGCTGAACAGGCTGGCATCAGCATTTTCCTTGAGAAAAATAATATATCAAATTAACTTTCAAACATTACACTATATACTCTATCAGAATTGGTAAAAAAAAAAAAAATTTAAAAAGAAAGGACAAAAATGTTATTTTTAAAATTATATTTTAAGATTAATAAAGCTCAATACTATTTAAAAATAATATAAGTGCTAATTATTTCAAATTAAGAGGGTTAAAAAATAATTATACAATTATTAAAAACTGATCATAAATTTTTGCTTTTTATTTGTATTTTTTTCTTTTAAGTTCAGCATTTTCACAAACTTGTAAAGACACAATTTGTTTTCAAGTATTAAATGAATATAAATTAAAAATACTAGTATTTAAATAAATTAAAACTAAATAAAAAAAAAGACTTATTTTATATGTTTCACACAACTTTCACATAACTTTAAAACACATTTGGACTTATTTTAGTCCATTTTGAAAATTATCTAATAATTTATGTACATTAATTTGCAATATTTTTTGGATAAACCTTCAGTATCAGGAAATCGAATTTTTTTAAAAAATGAAATGCGAACGAAAAATTATTTTTATAAATTATTCCAAATAAAAATTATTTTTGAATGAAATCTATTTTTTTAAAGGTAAAAATCAAGTGATTTAAACTGCAATTTGAATTATATTCTGTTTACCGGACAAAATACATCCAAATTATTTGCTAAGGGTCCAGTGGTCCCCAAAAAAGCTATTATCAGCATTTGTGGACAAGAAAAAAAAGAAGAAAGAAATAACACTTTGTTTGCAACATTAACACAAAGCAAAATAACAGAAATGCATGGAATTTCTTTCTACACAGAAATTGAAAAATATATTGAAAATATTTTATTCAGAAACTATTTCCTTTTGATAACATCAAGAATCAAAACAGTCACTAAATTTCGCATTTAAATATACTGTCACCAACTTTGCATTAAATATACTATATGTGCTGTGCCCCCAGGAAAATGAATAACTTCCTTCAAATTTTATATTTTTCTTTCATTTTTATATCTCACCTACATAATAATCGTGCCCCTCAGAAGTGAAGAATCTTAAGGACAGAGTTTGAAAAACATAATTCTAATTTAAAAAACATAATTCTAATTTAGATGTTTTTTAAAATTTTCTTCAGCACAGAGCCTTTAGAAATGTGAAGGCTATTATGTTTACTTTTCTATTTCATCTGTATGATAAAATAGAAAGCAAGGGTTAGCAAATAGTAATTCTAAAAAAAAACGAAAATTTAGAAACATAATACTGTATAATGACCATCTAGCTAAAGAATCAACATATATACCCTAGCAGCAAAATAACTTGGGCCCTCATAGGGCCAATATGCATGAATCTTGGCTCAGTAAGGATTCAAAGGGCCATTATTTTTATGATATTGGCCCTATATAAAATTTTCTGATACACCCGATATTTTACAGCCACTTTACAACCAATACAGAATTGTCAGATTCTCCTGATATTTTATATCCATTATTTAGCCAATATAGGTTCTATATTGGCTAATGTAGGCCCTATATAGGTCATTCTAGGACCAATATTAAAAAATCTAGCCATCCTAATATTGGTCCCTCAGTGCATGTTCTTAAGGAACCCATATAAAGTCAATTTTGAGCCCAACTGGGGCCAAGGTAAAATTGTACATATATATGCATATATCTACATATGTAAACATGCAAAGTAAATGCTTAAGAAAATAAATTTTTTTATCATATTCAAAATCTAAAAAAAAAAATTAATCATTAACAGACAGATAATTAATGCAATATCATCCATCTTCTAATTTAAACAAGTATTTGATAACCTTTACAGCCCTTAGGTGCTAATGATGACATAAGAACGTGATTAAAATGCTAAAACACTTTTAGTAATTTCTCTTTAAATGAAGTTAAACTACACTTAAAATGATACCACAGTGTAAAAATAAATAAATAAAATTGTATTTCAGTAGTTTATGGGCAGGTATGAAAAGAGAACTCACACTTCCTTTAGTGATGTTGAGATCATCCATCAGAGCTCTATTTTCATCTTCAAATAAAATAGGAGTTGTCACGGCAGAGAGGAACAGTTTTTTCAAAGGGGCTTGAGCGGAGCAAAGGATACGAACCTGAAAAAACAAATCAATTTATTACAACTCTTTATTCAAATCATAAACATGTTCACTAATCATTTACTTCAATACCTTTCAAATTTAAGAAGTATTTACTAATGCTTCTAAAATTTACTACAGAGGAGTTTAGATTAAATGATCTCTCATACTCATTAATTTTAGAGGTTTCAGGAACATGATACTAACGAAAACAAATATTTTTGAACACTCTGTGACCCCTGCGGCAGAATGTTTTTGGGCTTTCAGCGACACACCTCTCTAATACTAATATCTTTCTGCAAGATACTTTTAAAAATAACAAATATACATGTTACTAATACATATGTACATAATAATATACATGTAACTGCATTCTTACTTTGTTATCATAAAAGGTGTCAATCATAGTTATGAACCTCCTGGCTTGTGATTTCTGTTTTCTTGTCATTTGAGGTATGTTTCTGATGATAACCACATCAAACACTTGACTAATATATAAGTAGTCAATGGCACCTAAAGGCTAAAATATTACTAATATTATTAAAAGTTTTTAATGGGTTTCTTTTCACAAAAATAAATAAATAATTAAAAGTGAATTTTTTTAAAATGCAATTACTACAGTGCATTTTAAACAAATTCTGAAAAACTTTTCCAACAATATTCCAAAAAAAAAAAGAGAGAGATAAATAAATAAAAAATACTACTAATAATAAAATATTACTAACATTTAATGTTAGTAAAATTTTATTGTTAGTAATATTTTAATTGTATATATATTACAAACAAAAAAATATTACTAATTGTATATATTTTATTGTTAGTAATATTTTAATGTTAGTAATATTATAATGTTACTAATAATGATAAATAAAGCAAATACTAAATAAACAAACCCTGAAAAACTTTACTTCCAACAATGATATTGTAATATTTATTAACAAGTAAACGTGTGAAATTTCATGTTAAAGTAAATGAATATTGTAAGCATGGAATATTTNTACGCACCCTGACATATTACTAAAGTAACTAAAGGTCAACTTTGATCATAAAAAATCATGACCCCCCTAAATTGAAAAAAATGAAATAAAAATAATAATTCTTTTATTAGTTTACAAAAGAAATAAAATATTTTAAAAAATATTTAAGGGGGCATATACACCTAAGTAGGTCGGAAAAATCGATTTTCCCCCATCTAATTATGTTCTTCACTGTTTCAATAATCATAATCCAAAAGATTAAAACAAAATTCGTCATAATTTCATTGAAAAAGGGCCAATACTGTTTTTCAACAACTGTTTTCTGAAGCTCGAGATGTTGCTGAACAATTAAATGCAGAGCTGCGACCAAAACGTATAGTTTCTCGACAAACACAAAGAAATAATAATCAGCCAAACCAGACCCCAGAAGAATACTTTCGGAAGGCTATTTATATTCCTTTATTAGATAATATTTTAACAGATTTAAAGGACTCACTTTCCCCAAATGTGATGAAACTTTTTAATCTACAAGTTTTTTTACCTCGTCAAACTGTTACAGAAGAAGATCTTACAGCCGTTCGTGAGACTGCTGAGTTTTATAAGAATCTCTTAAATGCTTCCATAAAAGTTGTCGGAACAGAATTTAGTCTATGGGTGGCAAAATGGCAGTGTGAAACAGAAACAGGACTTGAAGTGCCCAACAATCTTTCCAAGATTATTAATGCCTGTGACATCGATTTGTACCCATCAATCAATATGTTGTTGAGATTTCATATTTTAATAACTCTGTCAGTTAGTGCAGCAACAGCAGAATGTTCCTTTTCAACTCTTCGACGTCTCAAAACTTGGCAACTCAAAATCAAGAACGATTAAATGGACTCGCATTATTAAACATTCATCTAGAAATTGATTTGGATGTTGAAAAAATCATTGACAGATTTGCCAAAATTTCTAAAAAACACATTACATTTATTATTTAAAGATTTTGAATACTTGAATTATTTATGTATTGTTCTATTGTTCATTATGAAAAAAATAAATGAGAAGACAAGCATTAAAAACACTAGAAATGTTTTTTTTTTCAAAAAAAAAATATTTAAAACATTTTTTTTTATAAAAAAATTAATTGTGGGGGGGGGACCTGAGTCTATGACCCTCCAGGGAAAATTTCTGGATCAGCCCCTGAAAGGGGGGCAGGTTTTAGTTCCTTCGGAAAATAGTAGACCTTTCAGATTGCCGGTAGCTAGGCGGGAGAGAGTGGTGCAGAAAAAGTGCTCCTTTCAAAGGAAAGAGTCAAGGATAGTCCAGGCTTATTTCCCTTGTACCAATGTTGGGTGGGGGGAAACAGCCAGTCCCTGAGAAGCTGGGATTTCTTCAGGGAGTAAATGAAACAGTTAAAATTTTTTTCTATGCATTAGTATTGTGAGAGAACTAATTTAAATGCTCGTATCTTACAAAATTTTTAACAAATGTCATTTTTTTCAAATAAAAAAAAAATTTGTATTTAAAAATTGTTTCAATTCTGTTGTTAATTTTATTGAAAATTTTAAAAAGTTATAACAAAAAACAAAAAAATTAGCTTCTAATAAAAATATCCATAAATCAATAAATATTTAAGCTAGGTTTACGAAATTTGATGCGATTATTGTAAATAACAACCAAAGTAATCGGTAGAAGTTACAAGCTTATTGCTACATTTTATGGCATAGGGTGTAAAACAAATGCTTCTTTTCATTTGTAATTTATTATGAGACTCTCACATCTCTGAAAGTTTTAAACTTTATTGATAAATATAAGAAATCGCACGACCTAAAAAATTCTTAAGTTAGCAGAATAATTATCAATGAATTTCTTGAGTGATTTGAAAAAAATGTCAAAAATTTTAAGTGTCTTCTGTGAAAATAGCGCAAATATTTCAGATAATTAAAAGACATGTTTGACTCACATTTTCAGTTTTTTTTAACAGTTTCTTAACAGTTTTAACATTTTCAGTTTCTTTTTCTAAGCTATATGCTTAAATGAAATTATTACAAGGAAAATAATATTGTTATTTAGCCGATTATGTAGGGAAAAGTCCGATCAAAAAGTTAAAATAGAATGAAAAAGACATAAAATTGCCAAAAATTACAAGCATAAATTATTTCTTTTGCATTGCAAAAGCAAACATTCCACTCTTGTATAAATTTATCCAAGAAGCATTTTACAAATTTGATTATGATTTATCTGAAAGAAAAACATAATAAACTGTGATAAAAAATCATAATATCACTCAGTTGCTTGTGAAAATGACCATATTCCATTTTCTCTAGTTAAATATAAATTTGTAAGGTCTATTTTATAAATTTTTTATTTAAAAGTCCAAAATTGGTTTACTTAAATTACGAGTTGTGATGTACGAATAAACAGCAATATTTCACAGTAATAAATAACTTATTTGTGGTAGAAACATAATATAAAAATTAGCTGCATACTAAAAAAAGAAATAGCTGAAAAAGAAAGCAAACTCATAACTTAAATGTCCATCTACTTCAGAAACTATATGTTTCAAAGTGAAATATCAAATTTATACTACATACAATGAGATTTAGATTCATTTTTAATAAATACGACATCGTAATCAAAATTGTCAGTTAAAAACATTACAAAAAAAAAAACTGTTTTCTTACTTTGTTATCATAAAAGGTGTCAATCATAGTTATGAACCTCCTAGCTTGTGATTTCTGTTTTCTTGTCATTTGAGGTATGTTTCTGATGATAACCACATCAAACACTTGACTAATATATAAGTAGTCAATGGCACCTAAAGGCTAAAATATTACTAATATTAGTAAAATGTTTTAATGGGTTTCTTTTCACAAAAATAAATAAGTAATAATAATTAAAAGTGAATGTTTTTACAATGCAATTACTATAATCAGTGTTTTCACTACAGCGCGAGAACGCGAGAATTTCGCATATTTTTTTCTTTTCTCGCATTAAAAAATGATTAACGCGAGAAATTCGCGCATTCTATAAACCAATTTTAAAATTCGGGAATTTCTTGCATTTTGAAAAAAATTTCTCATTGCGCCAATTAGAATGAAATCCGTTTCACTTTTCTTCCTGGATCTTTCATTATTTTCACCATCTTCCCCATTATCTAGCTTCCCTATTTACCAGTATTGTTCAGAACACCATCCCTCGGAACCACGGAGCCTCTTTCAGAACGCATTTCTCTGCAACCACGTGTTTACCGTAGGTAAGGTTTCTCCATGTAAGAAGTTCACATTTTTTGCACATTAATGTAAGATGGACAAATACCTTGTAAAGGCAATATCTTCTACTCCGAAACGGACAAATGAAAATTAAACAAATGTGGGTAGAAACGATCAAAACGAAACAAACGCGCATTTGAGCAACATAATGAGAATAGCTGATGAAAAAGCAGATGTAGAACATTTTCCATATGATGATGCAAAAAAAAAATATTCAATGCTTTAAAAATTAGAAGATGCTAAAAATGTATTATAATTAAAGAAATTATTTTTTTTCAAGTTTCTTTGTGTTTTTTTTTTTTTTTTTTTTTTTTTTTTTTTTTTTTTTTTTTTTTTAAATTTTTAGATATCTCTCTTAACTTTTTGAAATCTCACCCTGTTTTTGAGAAAGGGTGAGAAATTCTCACCCATTTTCTCTCTGCGATGAAAACACTGTATAATGCATACTAAACAAATTTTGAAATACTTTTCCAACAATATACCAGAAAAAAGAGATAAATAAATAGTAAGTAAATACTAAATAAAAGCGATATTTTTTAAAATTCAATAATTATAATGCATTTTAAACAAACCCTGAAAAACTTTACTTCCAACAATGATATTGTAATATTTATTAACAAGTAAACGTGTGAAATTTCATGTTAAAGTAAATGAATATTGAAGCATGGAATAATTTTTTTTAAAAAAGCAGTAAAAATAATATAGGGTGTAAAATAATCGAATTTTCTTATAAATGTTAATCTTGAACAACCGAAATAAATTTAATTAAATGTAATAAATATGTATTATTATCTAGAGGTACTAAAGGGATTTTGCTACAAATTTTTTTAAAAACCATTTTTGGCTGTTTTCTAAACATTAATTTTCAATAAATTGCTAAAAACTAAAAAAAAAAATTAATTATATATGTAGGTAAAATTAATGAATTAAAACAGTAATGGAGAATTATTAGTGGCTCATTGATAAATATCAATGAATATAGGTAATGACATACATTTTTTAATAAAAAAGTTTTTAATTTAAAAAACGTTTGTCAATAGATTTAGTGGTTTGTAGGAATATTCCAAAATATCTCCCATTTTATCCTAATATTTCTATCATGGGTTGCACCTCTGTAAGTCACTCTATTCTATTTGCTACAGGAAAAAAAAATCTTTGCACTAAGTTAAAGTTTGCTAAAGCTAAGTTAAAGCTTGTTAATGTTAAATATAATGTGGAACTCATAAATTAGAACATTAGAAGAAATTTCTTATCTTTCTAATATTTATATATGCCCTACTAGCAGGATAGCCTGGCTGGTATGGGCATTGGGCACTCGTCCGAGAGGTTGTGAGTTCGATCCCTGCCGGACGAAGACAAAATAGTGACTAGTGTACACTAAATCTGTCGGGCTCACAAAGTCTCCCAAGATCCAATAACAAATCAATACCTCTGCGGGTATTGGATTGGAGATTGATTACGATTTGATGGATGGTGTGTGAATGTGTCCGCCTTGTAAAACGGGATGTGACGTACGCATGTCGTTTACGGATCATTCTTAGGGATGTTTTCCAGACCGTCGTCAATAGCCCATTGTGCAGCTCTTGTGCGACGTAAATATTAAAGAACCAAAAGTACTAACATTTATACACTGCTAAAATCTGTACTAAGAAGAAAATGTTCTAGTTTTATTAAGAATAATTGAATACAAACTGTGCAATATATCAGAAACTTTTTTTTAAAAAAAAGTTTGAATAATGAATATGTTAATTAAAAGAAAAGTTGAGAATTATTACTATTTTGAAATTTTACTTAAAAATAATTATTGTCGCCCAGATTAAACATTCAATTTGCATGCTTTTGAGTACAAAAAGCATTAAATTTTTAAGAACCATCAATCTATTTGCCAAAATTTTAATTGATAAGAATTTTGTTGAACACAAAAATGAGCTTAAATTATAATAGGAGCGCACATAAAATAAGCTTTTTGATGCTCTAAACGTTTATATTATATCAGAAAATATTTATTAATAGGTTAAACTTACCCTATCACAAAGCTCTTCAAAAGAACTGTCTAGAATTCTGCCACAAGTTTTAGTGAATCTCACATTCCGATTTTTTATCGTCAGTGTTTTTGGACGGACAGCTGTAAAAAAAAAATCATCTTATAAACACTTATGAATTTAACACTTGCAACGTTTAAAAGATAAAAAAAAATTCAAACATTTACTTACTGTCAGTTTCATGGCTTGCAAGAATTTTAAATGCATTATCAAGTTCAGCTTTAGCATCACATTCTGAAATACTGAATTCCATTGTGATATTATTAAAAATAAATATGTAAAAAATTTTAAAAATGCTAATTGTTAAGAGAAATTTAATCACATTTATACTTGAAACAACTTACGCAGATGTTTATGAAAACATAATTTTCCTTATAGGAGATTCAGTTAATTTTCCTTATAGGAGAGATTTAGACATTTACTCTATTCAACAATATCTTTTGATGAACGTGAAATACAAAGCCGTCATCTAATCAGAATTTTAGATATAAAGCGGTGCAGTATTTTAGAGTAACTTTTAATTTTCTCTGTATTGTACCTTGAACCGGTTCAAGGTATGTACAACAGATCCAGTTAGCACGAATATATTTCTCTGTGAATGATGCCACCATCAATATATAAACATTTTTATGTTTTTAGTAAAGATATACTTTAGATTTAGTGAAGTAGACTTACTGATTTAGTAAAGATAAACTTTTGAAATATTTTATTAATTGGTATTCTGTTTCTGATTAACTTTATCTCAGTTTACATACCGTATATTCCGGCGAATAACGCACATCCGTAATTTCTAATAACTTTTTTTAAATTTTAAGATATACTCTTCGTATAACGCACAAGAAAATTTGGATTGTATATGTACAATATCTCGTCTAGTATCAATAGAAAACCAGAGTGCCTTTTAGTGTGGGACATGTTTAGGTCCCACCTTACAGATAATACAAAAAAAATTGCTGAAAGAATGTAACACCGATATGGCAGTTATTCCGGGCGGATTGACACCATTAGTTCAGCCATTGGCTGCTGAAACAAACCATTTAAAGCCAATTAAATAAAAACTGTGGAACACTTGGATGTTGGAGGGCGAGAAAACCTTTACGAAAGGAGGACATATGCGTCATGCAAGTTTGGAAACAGTTGCGAATGGACATTAAAAGTATGGGATGAAATTAAGCCTGAGATGATTAGAAAATCATTCAAAAAATGCAGCATTTCAAATAATCTGAACGAATCAGAAGATGACTGTTTACTTATGGATGAGGGTAACACAGATGATGAAGATTGTGATGACGTGTCTGAAGAAATAACGGAAGACGAATATAATGAACTATTTATGCAATACGAATATAATGAGCTATTTATGTAATAACGAAAATCAATAAAGTATATAGGTAAAGGTATGTTATTTCTTCAAAATAAAAGTATTTTTCAATATTTAAATTTTTTTAATCTATAATTTTTTATATTCGATTATGTTATGTTATTTTTTGTATTAAAAGTGCGCGTTATACGCCGGAATATACGGTAAGCCACATGAAAAATAAATCAAAATTTTAAAAATATCTTAATTTAATCAATAAATAAGTTAAAAGAAAAAAAATTATAAATGAGAGAGCCTCAAGGTAGTATCATCCAATAGTCCAAGGTATCTTGTGGTGCAAGATACAAGATAATATTGTATCGTGGACGAGTTTTTTTGATTTGAATTTTTTTTCCCCCTTTAAAGACAGGCAGTATTTGCTCACCGAAAAATTTGTACTAATAGACAAACTTATTATTTATTTTTGACAAAATTTTTTGAGTCCTTTGTTTCTTCATAAAAAAATAAAATAAAAATTCAAAACCAGCAAAAGGTACAAAACTTTCTTCACTGAATACAAAAAGTCTCCAAGGTCAGAAATATTTTAAATAGTCAACGTAAATGGATATTTTATAAACAAATAAATAGATCTCTTTTATATTCCATGCAGAGCTTGTAGCTTGGACACAACTAATAAGTTAAAAATAAAAAATAAAAATAAAAAAAAATTTACATGTTAGAAAGTCTGAAAAAACTCACACAAAAAAATTAACGTTTGATCCAGCAAATCTTTGACGGTAATCCATGCCAGAGTCAAGCCACATAGGCTGGCAGTAATTCTAAAGTAATGAATAAAATATTTTGGTTTCAGTAAAACTTTTTCAAGCTACATAAATCAGTATCATCAAAATACATTTAAAATAATGAATCTTACTTTCAAAACACCAATGAAAGGCACAAAATTACTCCTTTGTAAACCATTTTTGTACAAATCTGTAAATAAAATGCAACTTAATTTTATTTGATTCTAACAATAAAATAACAGGTTCACTGTCAATCTCATGCTAGAGCAAGAGGCATTTCTAGTGACTATGATACGCTGGCAAGAGATTGGCAGCCAACATATTAAATAAAAATACATGTTTTTAGAGCTTTGCCTTACCATCTGGTGCTCGATTAGATGTAGCAAAAAGAATCGTCCCATTGTTAAAAATTGCAGTAAACAATCTTTTTAAAATCATAGCATCACCAATATCAGTTACCTGCAAAACAAAAATGATAACTCGTGAACTTAATCTAGAATCTTGTAGAAATCTGAATTTCTAGCGAATAGTAGAATCTGAATTTCTTCTCATTAGTTTATTCTTCTATATTTGTTTCTATTATAGTCTTTTAGCTAATATCAAATTAGTTTATCGATATAACAAACTGTAGGAATGCCCATAAAAGTTTGAAAGATTAAAAGAAACTTAGAATAGTAGAATCTGAATTTCTTCTCATTAGTTTATTCTTCTATATTTGTTTCGATTATGATCTTTTAGCTGTAGTGGTGCCCATAAAAATCTAAAAGATTAAAAGAAACTTTTGCTTAATTTAAATAATGCAGGCATAAAAGTGGACAAAAAAAAAGCTGAACTTTTACAAAGCAGACACTGGGAGGTGGGGGAGGGAGGGTTCTATGCAATACTGTGATATCAATAATAAAAATAAAAACATTACTTCTAACTTTGCCAAAAGAGATTTTTATTTTATATTTAAGGTGGCAAAAACATTTTGACAGTAAAACTTAAGCTTTTCTTAAATTTAATTTTTAACGTCTTTGACCACTACTATATTAAAGAAAATTAAGCAATACATAAGGCTTATTAATCATCATTTTAAATTATTTGCCAGTCAATGATTTTAAATTAAAACAGTCACTAACTTTCATCTCAATATCTTCTGATTGGTTATTGCTAACAGTTTTAGTCACTTTGACTGTTTCATTTAACGAATCAAACTTGGATTGAATTTTTTTCAGCAGCATCCATTGTACGTAATTTGTGTTTGTCTATCAAATTGACTTCCATCGCAAAATACATTAATCTTACAATGCACCACGTGAAAAGGACATAAGTAAACAAAAAAACAAATATGTACACGGACAAACACAGTAACTTAAAACTATCAGAGTCGAGAAAACTAGAATATATGGATGCTCAATTCAACGTGAGTCGCACAAAGGAGGAGAACCCGGATCAAATTTGGCCAGCTGAAACTAAACTGTTTCGGAATCAATAACCAAAAAATTTAACGGCAGTGGCGCACATGCGGAAACTCTACTCGCTTTCTCCTGAAAATTATTTTTTTTAGAAGGCTACTGCAGGAAAAAAAGTCTGTTCCAAGTACGGCTAACGATCAGGTGGCTAGGGTTAAGGCAGTTATGGGGGGGGGTCTTTTGGGGGTCATTTTTGTAACATTGTCGGAAGTTTTAAAAATTGGGAGAAAAGGGGGATTTCGGCTTTTTTGTGAAGGTCTTTCACCCCTGATAATGCTTTCATAAAGATGAAAAGCTAATTTTAGATAATTAAAATCTAAGAAGATTGAGCATTATTTTTTTGTTAACCATAACAAGATGATAATTTAAAATTGAGCCATATAATACAAAATTTAATATTAAGCAATTAATTATTAAATAAAAAATGGTAGTTTAAGAACAGAATAACATTTCTCATATCTCAGACCAAAGACAAAAAGCAACACTATAGTTTTCTAACCAAAAGATGTGTAAAAATTTATTAATTAGTTCTTTTGTTTATTAGCACTCATGTTTAAAAAGCATTGAATTTAATAGTTTAGTCACATACAGAGTACACTATATTGTCTGTATTGAGTCAAATTCTATAAGATATTTAGATTGAGGTCTGCTCAAACTTTCTACTTTGCATATGCATTTTATATTAAAACATTAGTTATTTGGGATATATATAAAATTATAATGAATAGAATGATTTTATATTCCATATAACATTTTTAAATCATTACTTAGAAGTAAAAGTTGTTTATTATATTTATTATTTTTTTACTCAACATTTTGATAAATGAAATTTTAAACTTAGCATACTACAACATAAACTGGTAAGAGCAACAAGAAACGTAAAAGTGAAAGTAACTTCTTGAAGTAATGTCCGTAAACATAATTTATTTATATTTCATTTGTATGCACGCAATAATTTAATTTTAAACCCACTGGTTTTATAACTGTTTCATTAATCCAATAAACTAACTGTCTGACATGATGCTTCTATTAATGTGGTTCGCAAATAATAATCTAATACTTGAAAAATCATTTCATTTGATTACTTCATTGTGCCTCTTACACATAATCTTTTTATTTGATGGCTCATTATCCAAAAGAATAAGAAATTTTAAATTGAAATAAATAAATAAAAATTAACTGCACTGAGCATAGGTTACTTTTATTTTCATTCAGAACACCATTCATTGTCACAATAGTTTCATTTTGAACACTAGGATGGTGTTCAAAATCCTTCACAACAACAGAGAAAATGCTTACAACAATGAACAGAAGATCAGTACATAGATTTAGAACTGACTACAAGTTAAATTGTCCTTCAATTTCGTATAACTATTAAATCAATTAAGGCATAGGTTCAAAATTTTACACACTTGTCTAAATTTATAATAAATATTGGTGAAATAAATAATTTCATACATAAAAAAAAATATTTTATTCAATATTAAAATTAGAAAATATTTCTAAAGATTTATCTGGGAAAATTACAAATATATTCAAATCTACGATTTCATTTTTGAAGTTAGTATTCTTATATACAAATTTTAAGTAAATTCAGGAAAACTTTATGCATTTGTAAGAGTAGACAAAAAGTCGTGAAATAATTACCAACATAGAATTCAGGAGATTCATAGTATTTTAACATAAAAACTTTGAGTATAATGTGCAAAATTAAAAATTAGACACTTAAGAAGTGACTTTTGCTATAGTAATCAGATTTCCACTTAGATGCAATTACAATAGTTCGAGGGGTTAAAACTTGAATGTGAATTTGTGCAGATGGTTTTTAAGTTATGAAATCAGATTCAAAAACTCAGAACAAAGATATTTTTGTACGATGGAAGATTTCTGATCTTTGACATAAAGGGGGGAGAGGGACTAAAAAATCAGGAAAATATTGTCCTGCTTTTTTCAAGCGGGAGAGTAATCGAATTAATCGGTTTTTCTGGCTTTTCCTTTTTAAGGCTTTTTACCATATCTTTGGAATTAATTAAAACAATCAAATAATTTTTGCATAAAATTATAAAACTCCTTAAAAAAAAGTTTTTTTTTACCTTAATTTAAAAAATGAGTTACAACGGTACCGAAGTTTTTACATCATTTCTAATTATGTAATTTTAAGTTTAAAAAATGTAAAATTCGAATGTTATATTGAATGCTATACTTCATGAGAAATTAAAATTTCCTTTTTTTTAAAAAATTTCTTATTTTGTGTACTGTACAATGCTCAGTATAGATTTCTGTTTAAAATGCTAAAAATATTTTTGAAAGACTTCCGACAATTTTATAAATTAGCTAGTCTGTTTACAATAGGCATGTGGTAAAAGTTAAATTGTACAGAGTTGCTTTAAGTATATTATGTAGCTATAGTCATGAGATATACATTATTAATGCAACACAAAGATTAAATTAGATTACAAAACTGCATTTGCTTTAATAATTTTAACCTTTAATAACGAAATTTAAATAAGTTATTATATAATTAGCTATTCAATACGTAAACTAGATACAAATTAAAATAGTATATCTTTATATTTACTTTATTCATATCAAACATAATTAAATTATTATTTAAATGTAAAAGAATGATAGAAAATGAAGTTCATAATCAGTGCCTTAACTTTTCAAAACTAGCCAAAATTGGTAATCTATTGCACTATACAAATATTTGATTATCTAAAGATAAACATGCACAAACTAATGAAATGAAAATTATATGCTTTAGAATTAATGATATACAGTCCTTGGCATATTGGACTCACTGTAGTTTTTTAATAATGACATGTTTTGCACGAATTTATATGCAATACTTTTATATTTAAACATACATGTAGTCGGTATTTAATCATAAAATTTTTTATATACTTCCTTTTTGTATTTATTTTTAACGTATTGCATTGTTAATAAATTTATACACGTACATACACAAGCATAAACCGGTTTCAGTCGCGTTCTCTCACGCGTCAATTGCAGACGTGTTTCTGTGGCTTTATGTGCTGTGTTTATTTGTTTTGCAGTTTTATACTAAGCAGTTATTTGTTTATTTTGTGTAAAGTGTATAAATAAATAACATTTTCATCATAGGTAAAAAAGGCGATCTTTCACCATCTAAAAAACCTGAAGGCCCTCGTGAATGCAAAAATATTTTCCACCCGCGAAATAGCATGAAGATCGAAGGTTTCCGAAGCTAGCATATGACAAATAAAGAAAATTGAATCATGGGACGAATTGAGCCCGAAACGAAATAAAAGATGCGAAAGAATCTTATAGTGCGTCTAATAATTTGGCCAAGAACTGTACTTCATTTGACTAAGCATACAAAACATAAATTTAAGAAATTAAAATACCTGAAACTCATCTAGGCACAGAAGCCAGACATCATCACTTATAGATTTTGCTACAGGTCCAATAGGGTCATAGTTTAGGGACTTTTTTCCAGGTATGCCTTGTTTTAAGGTTTGCTTTTTGTATTCATGAATGCCTTCAAATAATAATGAATTTTATATTAAAAGTTTAAAAAAAATAAATTAATATTAAAAACAATTTTCAGTTACAGTTGAACCTCTCAGGAGTGACCACTCTCAGTTCTAAAGTAAAAAACTGTCGTTGACGGAGGTTGGTCGTTTTTAGACGTTAACTCTATTGACATAAAATTTTTTATGGAACATACGTGATTTTTTGCAAACGATTTTAATTTTAGTCAGTGTCTTGATGTGGAAATGCGACTTCTGTAGGCGCATTAAAAGACTGATCTATTAATAAAATATAGCATCTATAAAAATGATCCCAAATGATATAATTCTGTGTAAAAACAAACTCATTAATTATGAAAGATAAAGCTATTTTAAATAAATAAACAATTGTGTTTTTCGTTTAAGTTTGCATTTAATTTTATATAATAAAAATTAGTTAGCTTTAAAAGATGAGAAGAGATTAGTAGGTTTGAGATGTTTTTTTTTTCAAAACGACTTTTTTATTTCTAATTAAACTTTCAACTCTAAAAGTAAATCATTGATAGCATCGTCTTTAGTGCAATCTGCCTGCAACATGAGGTTTTATTGTCAAAAAGAGCTCGCTAAATAAGAGCCTCATACAAATATTTTGAATACATTCTAATCTTCTTATTTGCTATGTTAAATTTTTGGTTTCTCATTTTTTTTGTGCTTCGTTATTTGACCTTTTACACATTTGGTGCAAATGTTTTCCTGGTACCTGGGACAGGTTTTAAGGGTCTCTCCTAAAGGATTTCTTCAAGACAAAGTCTATGGAAAAAAATTTGTGCCACCCAAAAGTCATACAAAGAGGTGGTCTTTCCAGGAGGTTTCACTGTATTTATTTCCTATATAATTGTTTTTGTCCTAATAAAGTCATTTTCATAAGTCAATGATAATAAAGTTATTTTCAAAGTTTTCAGCGTTGCTATAGACTCAGACTTGCTAACCATACCAAAATAAAATGCAAGAGACATATTCCAAAACCATGGCATGATGTTATAAATGGAATTTTTTAAAAATAAATTAAAATATCTGATATATTAAAAATTTAAATTATCATTATGCTATACTTACTATTGTTGCTTAAAATAATACCTATTCCTGAAATATTTAATTCTTAATATGTAAATATAGTTAATACTAATACAGGGTGCGTAGCCAAATCTTTGAATCAAAAATAAGCACTTTTTAAAAACTTTTCAAGCACTTTACAAAAATTTTCAAGCACTCAAAAAATTCATATTCAATCAATGATATTATTGAAAAACAAAAACTTTTTATAAACAGTTTTAGCGTTAAAAAAAACCCAAAAAGAAACGGGCGTAAATCGAAACAATCAGTACTTTCCCACATCACCGAGTGAATTCAACTTGACCTTGAACTCAGAACAAAAGTACCCTTACCCCCTACGTCAAAAAGTGTTAGAAGTAAAATAAAATAAACAAGAATAAAATTAAATGAAATTAAAAAGAAAAACATTTCATAAGGATCTGATATTCTCTAGCACTCGGATTTCGGTTTTAAGTGTGCGCGCATGCGCAAGTCATATCGTGGGTACTACATGAAGTCCGCGTGAATGATTACGTAGCAAACACCCCATTTTTCGTGAAATGTATGGGATTCACCAGATATCACTGAAGAAAAAAAATTATTTGTGGAAAAAAAGCACTTTTTAAAAACACCAGCTGAAAAAAGCACCTTTAAAAGCTTTTAAAAACGAAATCCCCAAAAAAGCACCTTTAAGTACTTTTTACAAATGCTATGCACCCTGTAATAATATATAAATCCTAACACATCCTAAGAATACCAATAAATAGATTTAAAATTAAAAAAATTTGAACTGTGATATATTTTTTCTTCTTAAAATCAAATTATACAAAAGTTTTGCCCAAAACAAGCTCTCTTTTTGAATTAATAGTAAATAAGATCTCCAAATTTTTATTTGATGATAGAACGGTTCGTGCGTCTTAGAGACAACACGAAATAATTTATTCAATTTTTATTTTATTTTATTAAAGTTGAGTAAGAAATGTTGTCTTTGTTGCTTTCCTTTAATTTTTTAAAAGAAATTTTAGTAGCCCTTCTTTTCATATTACTATACAAGCTGAAGCAACTAAAGTTTATAATTCTAATTATTATTTACGTATTTTACATTAAAAGTTTTTCATGTTCTGAATTAACACTTAAATGACAATTAGCACTTAAATGACAAATTAGCACTCAAATGATGAAATTAAATGATAACTACTATTCATCAGGAGTTTTGTCACTTAGCTAAGTCATCTGAAATACAGTGAAACCTCAATCTATGAACACTGTTCTAATACACTAATTTGTATTTTTATGGCAAATAAAAAAAGAATTGAAAACTAAAATTTTTCAAACAAGTTTATCCAAACTAGTAATTTTTTGTGAGAGAATTTTTTCGTATCGCGATCTGTTGCACCAGCTACAATCGGCAAGGAGCCAAAATAAGTTTAAACTTTCAAAATAATTTAATATCAGATTATAAATATGGATAAAATTTTTAAAAATGTTAGGATTTATAAAAGTTATTGTATTTGTATATAATTTTTCACATTATTAGAGAAACATTTTCCATTAAGCTATAAATATTTGTAAACATAAATAAAAGATACTAAAAATGTTTAGAGAAAAGTACAAAGATGTAGAAAATATTACTAACGATTATGAACATCTAACATGAAAGAGTTGAAATGTGTTCTCTTTTTCTTTTCCAGGGGACATTTTTCATAAAATAGATCCATTAGCATAGTCTTGCCACAGCCTAAATAGATTAAAATTTACACATTAATTCAGAGTTATTCATTACAAATAATCATATTCAAAACTAGGTCATTTTCATTAACACATCTCGCAAAATTTTATTTTGAGTGACATGAGTACTGTTTTAAATCACATTTTTTTTTTCCTTTTCAAAAACAAAACGATCCATTTATCCAAGAATTTTAATTAGAACACTATTAAAATATTTTAAGATTTAATAATTTTTAACCTTTTAAATGTGATACTTAGCAAGCATGTTAAATCCTCTTTTTCTAGTCCACTCGCTGTAAGCAAAAGGTCATTATTAGGAATTCATCTGTTGTTTTCATAATACTGTACTATTGTTTTAATTATAAATCAGTAGCAGTTGGGTACCATGTTTGGTACTTTTTTGGTAACCATGCAGGAACATTAAATTGAATAATTATTTTAAAATTGTAAATCTGAGTAAAATAAAAATCTCCAGCTCATTTTTCGATTTGAAATTGCGATTTTTGTATCAGATGTATGAAATCAATTAAAAAAACACAATGAGCAATAGTGTCAGCATTTGGTTTAGCCAGGGCCTGATTTATAAATGTGGGGGCTTTAGGCACAAAACTATCAGGGAACTCCCTGGTCATAACCTCATGTGGTAGAATTTTTTCGGGCTTTCTGCGACAGGGTTCCCACTCTATGATGAGATTGAAATTCAAGGACATTCCAGGACTTTTCAAGGACCTCAACAAAATTTTCAAGGACCTTAATCTAAGACCAATTTTAAAAATTATTCTCTTCTATTTTANGAACGAGAAAGATCCGCGGGTGTTTTATAAAAAGGGCCGCCGGCAGTATTGGACAAATTCAAGGACCTATCAAGTTTTTCAAGGACCTAAGACGTTTTTCAAGTACTTTCAAGGACCTAAATTTAGCAAAAAAAAATTCAAGGACTCTCAAGGACCGTGGGAACCCTGTGCGACAAACTTCCCTAGCACTAATATTTTGCTTTAAGATACTTTTAACTATAACAATTACTAATTTAAAGTAACAGAAACTTTGTTTTTATAGAAGAAAGTATAGAATAAAATTTTTTAATTGTAAAATTACTATTTTTTAAAATCGTAACATTTTATGCGATATTCTCGCATTTTGTAGGGGGAAAAATACACAATTTTTTTCCGCTTTCACATTTTGTAAACCATTACACAAATGAAAATTCATAAATAAATTAAACCATAGCTGATTAAGATTCGTACATAAATTAAAAATTGTAAAATCCAGGCAGTAACTTCCAAAATAAAGATTATGAATTGTGCGAATACGACGCTTTTAAAAAAGAGATACTCAAATAAGTATATGTAAAACATGGAGTTCTTTAAAGAAAAAAAATGAAAGAAAGAACATCATTTCTAGAGTGAATTATCACGATTTCTGAATTTTTTAGATTAGTATTTTGAAATTCTAGCTGGAGCCAGTCCTTACAGATCATTATTTTTTTAAATGAGAATAGAAAAATGGTGAATTTTTTTCCCTTTCTGATGCGCAAAAAAGACATCTTTGAAAAAAATTCTGCGGAAATTTCTTCTTCTTTTTTTTGAGAAATTATGCAGAAAGGAAAACCAAAATTTTTCCAAAAATTTCAGCAAAAACTGTGTAACGTTCTGCGACAATGTCGCTGCAATTCTGCCCACGGGGGTCATACCTTTTAAAAAATGTAAGTCTTGTTTATGTATGAAGTGTCTTTAAATTATTTATAACATGAGTAAATGATATATTAGTAAATTTGAGCCTATATTTATTAAAATTTCTGTTAGCTCATAATTCTAATGGACAATTCTTAAGGGAAAAGTAAAAACAAAACTATTTGTAATAATAAGGGCCTTATTGAGGCCTAGGGATCCCATATTTCTAAAAGGGGCCCTTAGAAATATGGGATCCCTAGGCCTCTCAGGCCTTATGATAAATCAGGTGCTGTGTTCAACTACAACAATTAATAATTGAAAAGCTTCAAGCAAGAACATGTAAAGCAACATTTTAATAATCTCAAAGCATCAAGGAAATAACAGGAATATATTTAATAACTTTATTTCTAAAGAAAACTATCTTACTTAAAGATTTGGCAGAATGAAGTAATAGACCTTGAATTTATAATGGTCCTTAGAATGATCTTAAACTCAGAAAATTTTAGAGTTTTCAGTATGTCACATAATGTTTTTTTTTACTAAATTATTTAATTATAAAATGAAAATATAGAAATTTATGTAAAACTTTGTGAATTTACATTTTTGTATAATTAAAATACACAGTCTGATACTACAGCTTTGTTGTACGAAATTTCCCCATCGACTTTACCCAGATCAACTTTGTCTCCCCCCTCCTTTATTAGCAGTTAAGACTTTGTATTCTGGTATAAAATTGTTAAACAATACAGAATTAAATACAGGGTGAGTAGCCAAATTGTTCAACAAAAAATAAGTAGTACCTTTTAAGCACTTTTCAAGCACTCAAAAAATATCATAACTAGGCAAGGTTGTTAAGTTTTTGAAAATCGATCGTTTTATCTTGTTTTAACCGTCATGTCGAGAGAAAAAAAAACCTTTTGCCATTGTTTTGGACAATTGTCAAAAATGATGAAATTTTGAATCATGTAAAACAAATGGTGTTTTCATACGCTACGGACTGACAATACGCCAAAGTAGATTGATTGGGTTTGAATTAATTGTGAACACGTTGAATAGAACAACGTGAACTGTGTCTTTTTGCATAATTCGTAGCAAAAATCAACATGGTAAAGGAAAAATCTCATTTTGAAAAAAGGAAAAATAAGCATTTTTTAAAAAATCCAATGAAAAAAAGCAACTTTAAGGGCTTTCGAAAAATGAAAATAAGCACCTTTAAGCACTTTTTAAAAAAATTACGCACCCTGAAATAGGTTAATTTAGAAAAGGTATTGTTCCGTAATAATGCTTGACATACTTCATCAAGTACATGAATACATTTTGAGACATCAATTTGCAGACCACATATACTTGTTTTTAAAGTTAAAGGAAGCAAAATAATAAATATAAAAGTACCAACTGATCCATAGAGATAAATGCCTTTAGGTGGTTTTTTCTTTGCTTCCGTTTTGAATATCTAGATAAATAAATGTCATGTTACATATTTTTTTAAACAAAATTTTAAAAATGTAACAGGAAAATAATAAGTTATGTTAAGATTCAAACTAAATATGCTATAATGAAATTTGAAAAAATTTTTTTCATACAAATTTAATTCTTAATAAACATTATCATACTCTCATACAACTAGGAAATTTCAAAGTTTCAGAAAATATTTTTCCATAACAGCAACAAATGTCTCAATATATAGAATTGAAGGAATTTTTATCTACCACTAAACAAAAATATTTAAACATAGATAAAAAAAAGGCGAGATAGACCAAAGCACATACCTTCTAACATTTGAGTTCTGAAAAACTGTGTTTTCAAGTGGCAGTAAATTAAGAAGAAACTTTCAAAATAAATCAGAATTCTTCAAAATTTCTTATAGAACTTTTGGCCATCAAGTTTCCTAACATTTTATAACATGCTTAAATTAATTCAAACTTCAGGAGGACAAACTTTTTTTAATTCTAACAGGGTTGTCACTTAAACCTGGAAAAAATTTCCCTGTGTTTTTCCTGTACATATTATGAACAATATATTAAGAGGAAACACAATTACAGTGCTATTATATGAGGCTACATTGGACTAACTATAGTAGTTTTAATTGCTCAGGGTGCATAGCCAAATCTCTGAACAAAAAATATGCACCATTTAAATACTTTTTAAGCACTCAAAAAATATTTTTAAGCACTATATACATTAACAAAATGCAAAATAATTTTCAAAGAAAAAATATTTTTAAGCACTATATACATTAACAAAATGCAAAATAATTTTCAAAGACTTTACACTGATCATGATAAAATAACAGTTTCTGACAAAGAATACTTTTCTTGATTATATTAGCCATTTTAAAATGATCAAGATATTTTTTGGTTTGATTTCAGAGGGTGGAAAATGAAGTCTGAAATCGAGAATATCTTGCAAAATGCAGCAAAGTTGCAAATGAGCATGCAATTATCTCATGGAACCCAGTTCAGTAGATGCACACGTGGACCCGCAAGTATTTCATCAAACATGTAAAATGATTGGCGCTTTCATATGCTATGAACTGACGGTATGCCAAAATAGATTGTGGTTGAATGAATTGTGAAAACGTTGAATAATATGGTTTTGTATAATATGTGGCGAAAATCGACATGGTAAAGAAAAAAAATCTCATTTTCGAAAAGGGAAAATTAAGCACTTTTTAACCCAATGAAAAAGGCAACTTCAGGGGATTTTAGAAAACGAAAATAAGCACCTTTAAGCACTTTTTAAAAACGCTACACACCTTGTTGCTTTAAAAAAGGAACAGCTGAATATACTTAAATAATGCTATAAAAAATGAAATAGTCAAGCATAGCTAAAATATCATCTTTAAATACCCCATAGATTACGCTTTGAGTGGTCACAATTTTAAGAAACGAAAATAAGAAACAAAATTCCCTGTATTTTCCCAGTTTGTAAAGAAAAAAAAAAATTCCAGCATTTTTCCTGTTATTATAGGCGATTTCTAAATTCCCTGTATTTTCCAGGTTTTCCCTATTTTCCCTGTGGAGTAGCAACCCTGTCTAAGTTATTAAAATACATTTACCTTTAAAATATATTTTCTTCACTAAAATATATTTTCTCAGACTACAAATAAAATATTCTTTTAGTTGTTGGAGGAAATGAAAACATCATGATCCTAAGTTTAGCTAAAGATTTTATAAAAATTCTATTGGTTTTAAAAATGTCATTACTACTTCAGTTCATTACTACTTGAAAAAATAGTTTGCACTACCAATTTTCAAAGGTTGGAGGTAACACGTTATACTAGATTATCTCACAAACAGAGTCTGTTTCTTATAAAAAAAAACACCAGTCTTACTTCCAGTATGAAAATAGTGAATAAATAAAACTGTATTAGAACTTGATAACAAATCAACATTTTACACATTTAGCAAAAAATAATTGATGTCAGCTCCCCCCAGAGATATTAAGGGAGAAGCCTCTTCAACCCCCATGCTGTTAGCATAGGGGTTGATAAATATTAACATGAACGATTGAATAACTCATAAATAGTGCTTGTGAGTTAGAAGATTTTTACTAGATAATTTTATTACAGCCATAATAAAAATGTCAATATGTCAAGAGCAAATAAACATTAATAATTAATATTATTAATTTGAGATAAACAAACCTTTGATAAAAAATTTGGTTTTGATACTTCATAAGTACTCAGGGTTTCACTTAATTCTTCCAAAATTTCCCCAACTTTCAGTTGAGTTTTGTCGATTGTAATTTCTTTTTCACGTACTTTGTTCCAGTATGCTTCCAAAACACCACCTATGAATGTATAGAAATCAGAAATTTTTAAAAATGTTTCAGCTAAATAAAAACACATATTTAGCATTATTAAAGTTTTGGATACACATTAAAAATAAATACATAAATACTTAAAAAAAAGCTTTTACAGTTCAAATATGCTTTTAAAATAATGTGTATTCAGTTTACTACTGAAAAAAAAAAAGAACTTTTTTAAATTTTTCATATGATTGAGGTTTATGGTTATCTAATTGCAATGATCAACTATAAACTTTTAATTTTGATAAATGACACACTCTCACTTGATCTTTAAAATTAAAAAAAAAAAAAAAAAAATGAGGTTAAGACAAATTTAAATCTCTTGAGTTATTAAACTATTTTCTTCAAGTTTCATTAAAACAAAATTGCAAATATTATAATAAAAAGTGAATCTTCTGCTTTGCCAGAGTGAGAATTTGCCAACGAAATTTAGATTTGTCCATTTAGGAGTCCTATGGGTAAAATTTCCTGAATTGATATTTTCAACTGTCTCAATGAATATCTGCAATGTGGCAGAATATTTTCAAGCTATCAGCGACAAAACTCTCTAGCACTAATATCTTTCCGCAAGATACTTTTAATAATAATAAGCATATATGTCACTAAATTAAAACAAAAGCGCTACGTTTACAAAAAAAAAAAAAAAAACTATATAATTCCTTTTATTTGAACATGTAATAACTTTTTATTCTAATATTATGGGTGATATTCTCGCATCTTGTTATTTCCCTCACATTATGTAAATAAATCATCACAATAAAAAAAAATAATTAAAAATCTTTGATTTAAAAACTATGGAGAAATCAATAGCAATAACACAGAAAAATTCACAAATGCACGATTCGAATTTCCCATATAGTTTGAAATATATTGGGATATTTAAAATCCATGTGAAAATCAATATCAATAACTGGTGAAAATACAATCAAAACATTACATTGATTTAAGATACTATCGACGTAAATTGAGCTTGTAAAAACTGATTATCTGAATGCATGATTCAAATATGTGTAAATTTCTGTAAAAAAGAAAAGTAAAATTTTTTTTTCACTTTTCAAAAGAAAAATCTTTCTGCAAGAATCGTGTAACGTTCTGCGACAATGCCGCCACGATTCTGCCACAGGGAATATCTGTACAAAATTTCAGTATTATAACTCAATATTTTTGGCTGTCTAAAAGGACACAGAGTTTCGATAGGTCTATTAACAAAAAAAAAAAAAANAAAAAAAAAAAAAAAAAAAAAAAAAAAAAAAAAGAAAAGCAGAAAAAATCTATCCAGTTAATTCAACTTTACCATATGAAAGATATTAAGTTAGAATTTTAAAACTTTGTAATGCAAACTTTTGAGCATTAGCACAATCCGATCCACAAAATCTATAATCTTTTTGAAGTTTAGTCAATTTTTCAGAGCTTTAGGCGTATTCAATGACATATTCAGAGTTGGTGAGAATTTGCTTACTTCTTAACAGGGTTGGGTTTTTGACGTCAAAAAGTGGTTTTTGACATGACAAGGGTATAATACTGGTTTAAACCGTCNATAAGTTTAAAAGGAAACAAGATTACATTTTTAAGGCCAATTTCGACAAAATGAAACTTTTGGAATTTTACATAAAATAAACAGAGTTATTTTTGAAACACTGAATATTTTAAATATTTGATGCATCGAGTATAAGAATTTTCAGTGCCGATTTGTAACATAGATTTCTATACTCAAAATTTGCTTGCATCACTTGTTATAAGACAACACTTATCCCAATAATAGTATGTATCCAATAAATTGCCCAAGTTTATGTAGCTCTTTAAAATTACACACCACCTATCTAAATGAATGCTATTTCAACAAGAATCAGCAATAATTTTAACAATATGAAGTTTTCATCATTTAATTTCTACTGATGCTACTCTTTTTTAATTTGGTGGTAAGGTAAAATTGCTATATAATGTTATGCATTATTATGCTATCGATGTATATATAATGCTATCATTGCTATATAATGATCTATTTAATACCCAGTGACTAAACATAAAATAAACTGTTTTTTATTTTTTAAATAGAAACATTATTTGAAAAGCAATTTTTACATAACAGAGATACACATAATCAGGATTTTACTACATTACTAATTATGCATGCTTGTTATAACTAATTGCAAATTTTCTTTTAAAAACATAATAAAGATGGATATTTAAGCAGTCAGAAAATGATTTGACATAAAAAGTTATATTTAAATAGCAATATGCTTTTAGTGCTCTACAGTATGAAAATAAAACTCAATAGTGTTCAACAAAGCAAAAATAAAACTCAATAGTGCTCAACAAAACAAAAATAAAACTCAATAGTTCTCAACAAAACAAAATTTTAAGGCTTCAACAATTTTTAAACTCTGTGAGAATTTCAAATTAAACAATAAAAATTCCTTATAACATAATTAAATGAAACAGTGAACATCATAAGTTGCGAAAGTGGATACAAAAAACTTGATCTATAAATAAATTAGACACTTTGATCCTACAAACTATATTTTTATAATAGCTTTTATTTATTTTTTAATTCATGAGACATCCTCGCAAATTTATATATCTTCAAAGACTAGCTTTGACCACGAAATTTTTAATATATTTTAAGAAACTTTTTTTTCGTTCTTTTGAACATCAATGGGTGCATACATACTGCTACACGTGCCTAATCTAATCACTACTTCTTTAACTACAATTATGATAACACTTTTTACACGTGCAGCTTATGAAGTCAGATAATGTGATTATCTAACAGATTTGATAACAAAACATCTCCTTATTTTTATATCAATTTTTATCAGATACGTTTAAGCAAAGTCAAAGTATACTCAATATTTTTCTTCAATATGATGAACCAATCTATTTCAAATAGATTTTATATAACCAGTTATACTATGTAATAACATAGTATTGCATGCATAGGCCAATACTCTTATTACTTCATAATTCATTTACAAAAAATTTTAAATCCTTAGGTTTTACAAATTTTTTTTTTTATGACTTTGAAACTTATGGAAATTTTCAAAAGTATATATATTTTAATAAAATCAATACAAGCCATTTAAAATTATTCTGAATATATTTAGTTAACCAACTAGCTTGCTTGAAAAGTACAAACAGTAGAAATATGTTTATTAAAAGCATAACCCAAATTAGTCAAGTTTAAAAAAAATTAAGTAATAAATAATTAAATGATAAATAATAAAAAAGGATTTATGATGAAGTTTACTCAATTAAAAACACTGCTAAAAATTTTATACACAATTTACACACATCAGAGGTCTGTCTAAGTTTTTCTGAGAGGTACATATTTTGCGAAAATTTAGACATAATTTGTGAAAATTAAAAATTATATTAAAAAATCAACACAAAAATATGGATTTATCGCTTTTTAAGGGATACAAAAATAAAATTTTAAGAAAAAGTATTTTGTGAAACTACCGTTTTTCCTAAAGTTGAATTTGTGAAGGTACCGCTAAACGATAGTAAATTTGTCCTGTACAGACCCTGCACATGGAATGATTATTAATAATGACTAGAAGAAAATAAATAAAAATAATACACACCTGATTTGTAACTTACATAGCGAATAGCGCAAAACTGATTTTTAAAATTAGAAAGCCTAAAAATCATCTTATTTATTACCATGCTTTCCTAACGACCTTCATGTCAAAAGTGCATATGGTAAAAGCTTGCAATATGCATCACAAATTATTATTTTTACGTTATAGAGAGAGTTTTTATGAAAATGGGAGGAGTAAATGTCAGTTTGAGGTTTGCTTTCGAAAGTAAGGAAACTTATTAATAATTGTGCATTAGTCATTTTTTCATATCTTTCTGGGAGAATATTTCGAAAATTATCTATCGACTGATGACTTTTTACTCTTATTAAGGAAGATAGTACTTGCTATCTTTATTTCCCAATATTAGATGAATGTCATTGAATAACTTTGTTTTGGTTTCGTCACGACAATATTTTTCTACATATGAAATTGAATGTCCAATAATCGATGAGTATTCAGTTATCACGCCTTCGAATTCACCAATGATGAAACAAGAATAACTTTGCTTGCAAGAGTTAAATATTAGTAGCATGGTTAAGGTTAATTTATCAAATATATTAGAAATTTTCAAGAAAGATTCTTCTGCTCATAAGTATTTATAAAAAATTATTTCGCTCAAATATTTACAAAATATCAATCATTTAATATTTTTATAAGCTAATTAAGGAAGTTTTCAATTCATTATTATTTGTTGATCAGCTAAGTTAGCACTCCACTCTTGAATTAACTTGTTTATTTACATTTTGAAGTGAAAAAAATCATCGAGGTGAATATTCCTGTTGCTACACGATGCAGGTTACAAGTTCTAATAATATTAAAATCTATAATTTAAGTTCTGGGAAATCCCTTCCAGACTGGATATCAGAAAGAAAAAGACGTCTTCTACAAAAGAAAGACGTTGATATAAGGCGTCGTATAGAACTAATTCAAGATTTCGAAATGCCGGGAGTTAGTACTGGCATAAAAATCTCTCGTGATGGCAAGTTTATAATTGCTGCAGGTTTATACAAACCTAGAATACGATGCTATGATGTAAACAATTTGTCTATGAAGTTTGAGCGTTGTTTTGACGCTGAAGCTGTGCAGTTTGAATTACTGTCTGATGATTATTCCAAGGTAAGTTAATTTGACTAAATAAACATAATATATAAAACGCAGGGTTGGAGTTTTTGCCGGCAAAAAGGGGTTTTTGCCAGGACAGTGGCAAAAACCTGGTAAAAACCGGCAAAAACTGGTAAAAACCGGCAAAAACCAAATTATCTAAATTGCTGATTAAATATTATTACAAAATACTTGAAACAAATTTAAATCAATGATAAGGAATAATAATTTTGATACATTACATGAAAAAATTATTTTTAACATATTAATAATTAATATACCTAAGGGTAATAATTTTTAAAAGATTGAAAGATTTTGATCTCTTTTCATTTTAGAATCCTAAAATAAATGTTTTTTTACAAATAAATATTATTATTTGCATAATACTATTATTCATTATAAAAAATTATTATTTGTACAATAATTAACTACACATGTTGATAGATATTTTATGCTTTAAATTATAGTTATATTAATTTAAAATAAGTTCATTTCACTGGAAAAAAGAGAATAATCACAAATTTTCCAATCAATAATGTTTTAAACTACTAAAATGATATATTATTACACTATCATTTAATTATGGAATAATAATTTCGTTAATTATTTTGTAATTATTTATATTCATAGTATATATTTCAATTTTAGGAATAATTTTGTATCAAAAATGTGTTTTTGTCCTCTCATCTTGGAAAATATAGGTTTTTGCCACTTTTTGCCAATTTGCTTGGCAAAAACCTGTTTTTGCCAGGACGGTTTTTACCGGTATTTACCATGGTTTTTTCCACCTGCGGCAAAATCTTGCCAACCCTGATAAAACGTATAGTTGTATGAATCTCTGATACAAATTTTAGATTCCTTTGTTTAAAACATATGCTATAGTTATACTTGTTTTATGTAGTTACTTGTTTTTTGTAAGTTTAAGTCATTAAATAAAAAACATGTTTTAACAGTAAAGTACCTATGTTTTTATTTAACATTTTGTAATCATAAATTGTTTGTGATAATGGGCTTTTAAATTTACATTTCTGTTTCTACATGTAGCTATTTAGCTTAGAAAAGGATTATTTTCTTAATTCAGGGTCTCCACAGTCTTGAAAGATATAAAGATATTTTAAGCTACCAATACCTTCACGCTCCTGTGCCACAGGTCCTGTGTTCAACCCTCGGGCCGGCCAAGGTTGATTCAGCCTTACATCCCCTCTGTTGGTCGATAAATGAGTATCAAGCATGCTTGGGAACTAAACACTGGGAGTTTCGCGTTTAGCTGACCACCTAACCGGAACGTCTACTCCTGCAGCCCAGAGCCCAAGGTCAAGAAAACTGAGATGCGCACTGTATGCCTTGGCCCTCTATGGGCTGTCGCGCCACTTAGTTTAGTTTATGTGGGTACAAAATAATACCTCTGAAATATTTTCATAACTCTCAAATGGAAGCTAAATTTATGCATTTTTAAGTAGATAGTCTTGGAAAATCTTAGCTACCACTCATTTATTTTTTCAGTTTTGAGAACACTGAATTGGCACACGAAAAAGAGGTAGGCTGAATTTGAGATGGATAGATGGTCTAGAAAAAGACCTTTTAATCTTAAATACCTTTGGTATACCTACTGATGAAAGTTAAATGAAGTTTATCAATGCGGCAGCCATATTTAATTTTATCACAAAGGATTACTGTCGTTATTTGTGAGTTTTTAAGATTTTATGTATGCAGTTTTATGTTTATATCTATTTAAACAACTGATGTTACTATATAGGTAATTGGCGTACTGTTTTCTATGATTTTTTTTACGCTGAGTCAAATTTAACTAAAAGTCGATGTTATTTATAGTTTAAAAAATTATAGAAGTCTTTGTGTATCAAAAGTGCTATTTTGTTCTTATCTATTTACTTATCTGCCATTGCTATAGCATGTATTGTTTTGTATTAATCTTAAGACTAATAAAATAAAATAAAATTCGAATCAATCAAACTAATAGTTTTGAATATATAACAGGGTGCATAGCGTTTTTAAAAAGGGCTTGCAGGTGCTGATTTTCGTGTTTTAAAAGTCCTTAAAGGTGCATTTTTTATTGGGTGTTTTTAAAAAGTGCTGAATTTTCTCTTTTTAAGAAAGATTTTTCCTTTACTATGTTGATTTTCGCTAGGAATTACGCAAAAAGATACAGTTCACATTGCTCTATTCAAAATTTTCACAATTAATTCAATCCCAATCTATTTTGGCGTATTGTCAGTTCTTAGCGTATGAAAACGCCATTCATTTTACATGATTCAACATAGTAAAGGAAAAATATGGCTGCCGCATTGCCATATTTTTCCTTGAGAAAGAGATTTTTCCTTTACTATGTTGATTTTCGCTAGGAATTACGGAAAAAGATACAGTTCACATTGCTCTATTCAAAATTTTCACAATTAATTCAATCCCAATCTATTTCGGCGTATTGTCAGTTCTTAGCGTATGAAAGCGCCATTCGTTTTACATCATTCAAAATTTCATGATTTTCAACAATTGTCAAAAACAATGCCAAAATATATTTTTTTGACATGATGGTTAATACAAGATAAAACCGTTAATTGTCAAAAACTTTCCAACCCTGCCTAGTTATGATATTTTTTTAAAGTGCTTAAAAATGTTTCTTGAGTGCTTGAAAAGTGCTAATTTTTTGTTGAATAAGTTTGCTACGCGCCTTGTATAAGGGTCCTATGTGTAGAGGGGATATAAATCAAAAATTGTAAATTTCATACATAAAACCCCTTTATCTTCTAAATTATTAGTTTTAATCTTAAGTATTAATGTAAAAAAGTAGCTTAATATAAGAAGAGTACATAAGAAGCATAACCTTATTTATTTAGATAGTACTGCTAGACACGTAAGTGATTATAAGTTAAAACGATACTTTTTATACATAAAATGTTAATAACGACTATCGACTAGAGATTTTTTTCTTCTAAATTCAGCATAATGAAATACATAGTAGAAACAACCACATTTGTCTGGATTAGAATATTTGAGTTTTTTCCTTTGAATGAGAGTCACACTGAAGAAATTTTTTATTTTAAATGTTATTACTTCACTTTACAGAATAGCCTCCAGTTTTTGCTTGTCGTACCAAATGCATATTTCTTTCTCTAGTAGATCACAATATAATGGATTAGTTGCTACGAAGATCAAAGTTTTCAATTTATGAAAAAATGATATCAGCATCCAGAAATCTCTCTGAATCAGCTATTGGTCTTTGATCTCTTTTTCGGTTGCTGGCTTTCATAATTTAATTTACCTAATTTCTTATATTTGCAGATAGCCTTACTACTTTGTGACCGAACTATTGAGTTTCATGCTCAATATGGGGGCTATTACAAAACCAGGATTCCAAAGTTTGGTCGTGATATGGCATACCATGATGAATCATGTGACTTACTTGTTGTTGGAGCAAGGTAATATTTAAAGCATTTTAGAAGGTATTTTTAAAAAATATTATGAATGTTGGAAAATTTTAGATTTTTAACTCTTTACTTATATTTTTCCACTTTTCAGCTCTGAAATATATCGTCTTAATCTAGAGCAAGGAAGGTACTTAAATTCTTATCAAACTGATGCCAGGTATAGTATTATTTTTCCTGTAATTAACTTTGTATTGTGGATTATAAATTAAATTTATTATAGTGGATGAATTGGATGTTAAGGTTTTTTATATACATGTGCCTGTGGTGTAAATTCTTTTTTTTTATTTCTTGTTATTTTATTTTATTTATTATTATTTTTATTATCTTTCTTGATTACCTTTTATTTAAAAAAAATAATGTTTGCTAAAATCCAAAGATTACTGTACAGTTATCTAAGTCAGAAAACAACTTTATCTTTTTTTTCAATAATGGTAATTTTGAAAATTCTTTTTTTATTACTATTATTAATTTTAAACAATAAATGATATTACAAAAATATATTATAAATATTAAAACTGCTTACTATTTTTATAATCTATGAAAAAAATGATTACATTTTATTAAGTTTTTTCCTCCCCATAGTTGTAAATTTTTGTTAGCTATTAGTAAAAAAAATTTATTATTAGTTAGTTTACACATTCATTCAACCATATCAGAGTAGGACTTGACTTGACACATAACAGGACTCAAAATTTATGGTAGTCCGTTTGTCTCAGACTACTAAAATTTGACTAGGATCACTGAAAAATAATTGATAGTGGTCCATCGGACAAACAATGTAAAGGGATGGTATTCTGTTTTATTTTTTTGACTTTCAGTTTTGTGTTTTATTGTAACAAAATATCATATTTCATCATAGTTGTGAACACAGATTCTTTGTATTGTAACTTTAGTCAAGGATCCACTTACTAGTGACAAAATGTCCTTAATTTCTGCACTTTCTTAATATTAAGGACCTTATTTCTCTGTTTTACATCTTGTAATATACTGCTTTGTTGTCTTTGGTTGATGCATAGTTGGAAATGCACTATGTAAGCTAGCTGCCATTAATATGAGTGCTATGTGATTGATTTCATTCCAATGATTAAAAAAAATTAATTTTGATGATGATGCATTAAATTTTTATAAACTAATCATTCTAACTGTGACTTCTTTTAAAAAATTAATACTTCATTTCCACGTGCGTTGAAACACATCTCTCTTTTTACAGGCTAAATGCTCATCTTTTGTCTACTTGTTTCACTCTGTTCTACAAATCCTCCTCATACCTATTATTTCTCTTTTCCTTTACCTTCTTTTACCAGCCTTTTATATTTTTGCATTTGTCTGTACTTTCAATAGATTTTTTAAAAACATCTTAAGGTAAATTGCAGAGATATCTTTTGATCATTCAGTGTTACTCCATTTTTGGTTTACATGGTTTTTGAAGAAATCAAAAAATGCTGGTAAAATTAAGAAAATTTAATTTTTTTTATCATGTTTGTAATCACTTATCACAATGGCGTTTTAGTAAATAGATGCTAAAATCCTATGGGTCAAAAGTTCATATAATTTCTGAGTTGTTTATTTAAATTTTTGAAGGATAGTTCAAACTGAGAAATCTGGTGGGCTAATTAAATGTGTTTCAGTCAATAAAATAAATTTTGAAAATTAATTGCAATTAACAAGAAAATGTAGGAAATCCAAACTAAACCTTCTTAGTTGAGTGGATCTTTTAATGCATAAATTATTTGTAATTTACTTTAATTTTTTTCTTATTTTTTAGTTCCATAAACAAGATTGCAGTTCACTCAGGTTTGGATATGATAGTCTGTGGTACAGTAGAGGTTTGTGCCATTTTTCTTTCTTTCTGCTTTTAAAGTTTTAATTTCGTTTCTTCAAGTATACAATGGGTATTTTAGAATTATGTTGAAAATTTTGCATTAAGGCAAAACCAGAGGTGTCAACTTTTTTAACTTTCTATCAATAGTCAGTAATACAATAACATAGAAATGTATGCAGTTAGTGCTTCTGAAATTAAAATTAGTGCAATTATGATGTGTATGTACTTCTTAATTCTTTATAGTTGTACAATATTAATAAAATTATGCATGAATTTACTATTAAATGAAAAAGGAGCTTTTAGATTAAGGCTCTTTCTTAATTATATGGCAATAAAATGTTATACTTTACATAACTAAATCGACTTGACAAAATAAATCAAACTTTGAATCAATGTTCTAGTAGTTGGTTAAATTAGAACTTTCCTTTAATGCCTTTCTATTATTCTGCATTTGAATCACTAAAACATTTTGCTCACAGTATTTCGAAATTAAGTTTATGTTCTTTTGCTTTTCTTTAAGGATAGACGATTCAGTTTCAGAATAGTTTGTTGGCAGGAGGAGAAAGTTCTTTTTCTTTTATTTCTTGTTTCTATCAAATTGTTTATATTTTTTTTATTGTTAACAAAATTGTTTGAGAAGTTCAAAAAAAATTATGTTAGATTAATTGAAAACAACAAAATTTCATACCTTTTAGAAATTAGGTTGAAGACATTTTTTTAAAATAGATTATAATGGAAACTCTCAAAAATCATAATATTTATAGCTCAACCATAATCTTGACTATGAAATCATAATAAATATAGATTGATCATAAAAGTAGGCACCTCTGCAAAAACAATTTTTTAAAAATCTATACGTCTCTTTTTTTTTCTTCTTCTAATAAATTTGTTAAGTTTTTTTATTAATAGCATACTGTATTTTTATCCATAAATTGATAGATAAAACACAATACAAATTTCAGTGTGTTTTTGCCATGACAATATTCTATCAGGACTCTACAGTCAAAGAAAATTTTGTAGAAGTAGTTAAAGTGGAAAAAATTTACTCAACTATGGTTATAGTTTGACTCAGTTTGTTAAAATATAATTACTTTTTATCTTTTGGAAAATATTTAGACAAACATTTTTAATTACGTTAATAAAATATTTCTTAAATGAATATTATGGCCATTATTTAAATTACAACATATCATTAAAGGACGGACACAGAGAGGATATATTTATATGTATATTTTGTTTTATGTATATTTTTTTGATTAATGAATTAAACATAAATTATAGGGGAAAATTGAAGCTTGGGATCCTCGTATGCGTCAAAGAATCTCAATATTGGATTGTGCTATGTCTTGCATGGCTGAAAACACCATGTGAGTTGTTATTTACTTTTATATTTTTTATTTACATTCTTGTATTATTTATTGTGAGATGAATTACCATTTATTATTTTATAAGTCTTAATGAAAATGCCTGTTTAGATTTATAGTGTAATTATTTTGCTTTCAAATTTCGTTTTATATACTGTATATAAATTCTCAGGTCTAAAAATTTAAGAAAACTTCACAACTGCCTTAAGTATGTTTTTGTTTTTTGTTTGCCAATTGTATTCGTTAAAATTGTAATGCAATAAAATATTAAATAGTGATTTCACAAAATATGCTACTAATATAGATGCAACTCTGAGGTTTTTAAAAGTTTAACTTTATAATATTAGTTTAATTTTGGAGATTAAATGCCCATTCAATGTAGGTACAGAACACAAAAAATATTCTTAATAATCTTTGCTCTAATGATCGTATTTTGATGTTTCAATTGCTTGTAGGACCTACTTTAGACATGCTAATTAATTAAATAATTTAAAATTATATTTTAGTTTTGAAAGTTTTTCTCTAGCTTAGAATTGTTTACTTGCTTCAATGAAAATACTATAAATAATGTTATACACTGTAGATTTAAGTTTAGTAACTTTCTCTATTAAGATTTAGTAACTTTCTCTCGTAATTCATGAATTTTAATTGGTTCGATTTCTCATCATCATATCTGTATGCATCATATATTGAGTTCTTATTATAAAAATATGTCATAGTGATATATTAATTATAAAAACAAAGAGCTTGTATGTACACAGTTTTAAATTATCCAGTGATTTTGTTAAAATTTGGAATCTAAGGGTCATCAGGACCCAGGACCTTCAAATTTACAAAACAAATTTTACACAAAAATCAGATCCCTATTTACACTTATATAAATCTACCATTTTTGTTCTTCAGTGATAGCAGTCTGAGCTGAAATTCTAAAAATGTTTTAAATTTGTTCTTGTATATTATGTTTCTTGCATCTGTGTTTATCTCTCTTTTTAAATTTCTTTTCTTCATTAGAGATAAATTGTTTTATTTTATTTATTTGTTTTTCTTTTTGAAGTTTGGTTAAATTTTGCTAGTATGCATTTTTTTCGATGAAGTACACTGGTGTAAGGAATGAAGAAAATTTTCAGATGTGGTTGATTATCTCTAGAACTACTGGACCAATTTTAATGAAATTTGATGTGTACATACATTGATATAATACAAAACAAATAACCATTTAACAATTTTAATCCAAACACATGATCGTGCTTAATACTCGTTGGAGTCGGAGGGTATGTAATTGCCACAAGACAATTCAGGCCAATTGCCACAGGAAATGATAATCTGCCTTATTTCAAGTATGAAATCACGCTGCAAGGCCTGTATATCTGTAAGAGGGTACCACACCCCCTATTAACCCATTTTTTGTTTATTCTTCAACCGCTGTTCATACCTTCCGACTCCAACAAGTGTTACGCACGAGCATGCATGTGTATTACAATTTTTAAATGGTTATTTGTTTTGTATTGTATCAATGTATGTACTTATCAAATTTCATTAAAATGGGCTTAATAATTCTGGAGATAATCGGCCAAGTCTGCAAATTCTCTTAATTTTTTACACCAGTGTATTAACATGGCATATAAGATGCTTCATTAAAAAAAATTTGACACCTCTTACTCATTTTAACTGTATTTGACACGCCTTATTTGACTGTTTTTATTTTTTATTTTTAATATATAGAGTTGATGGTTTTCCGTCTGTGACTTCATTATCATTCAAACATGGATTGACTCTTGCGGTAGGGACATATACTGGTCAAGTGAGTATACAACCTCAATTGCAATAAATATATATTTTTTGACTCCTGGTGGCTGAGTGGTAGGGCTTCGCGCTGTCGTGCCACAGGTCCTTGGTTCAATCCTTGGGCAGGGCAGGGTTGACTCAGCCTTTCCTCTCTTCAGTGGGTCAATAAAATGAGTACCAAGTATGCTTGGGAACTAAATACTGGGGGTTCCATATTCGGCTGACCACTCAACCGGAACATCTGCTCTTGCACCCCAGAACCCAAAGATGAAGAAAACTGAGATGGGCACAGTAGGGCTTGGCTCATTATCGGTTGTCACGCCACTGAGTTTAGTTTAGTTAAATATGTTTTTAGTAAAAAAATATCTGGAAAATTTGGGTTATCTTTCTTATTAATTTTGATATGCAACAGAATAAAGGAATAAATATAACTATTTCGTTTACTCCATCTAACTTTTCAATTTCTCAATGTTTGCTATATGATCAAAAAAAAATTTTTTTGCTTTAAAAAGTAATAAAAAATTCAAACCTCCATCTGTAAACACTTTGTTATATGTTTGGTATAATGCAACTTCTTTGTATTTCTCGTTAATCCTGTGTAAGTCTAACTCTAACACTTAAAATATGGTGGGTATCTTGACTTTTGTGTTTTCCAACAAAACAAATCTGTTTACTCATGGGTGCCACTCTTCAGTCCTGACGACTGAAATCAGTCTTGAGAAATGATCCAGTTGATTGAATTCAGTCCTCCATTTAATTTATATAGTCAAACCCCGCTATAGTGAACACGGTTTATAGTGAACAAAAAGTTCGGTCCCATGCCTTGCTATACGCGTATAATGTTATTTTTTGTGGATATAGTGAACCAAAAAAGTGTGTAAGTTGGATATAATGAACTTTTTTCTATCTTCAACTAATTTTTTTTCTTCATTTTTTTTGGTAATAATTTTGAAATTTTTACTTTAAAATAAATACATATGCCGATTTTTAAAACCATCTATAGAGGGGGATTTAGCGATAAGCTTCTTTTATCTCACTTTCCCATCCCTGGACAAACCAAGCAGATATTTTCGACTCAGGCAGATAATGCACCTGTAAGGCGTCAGTGGGATCAATATGCATTTACTGTCAGAGGGAATGAGTAAATTTTTCATTATTGGTCAAATGGTGAGACACTAATATGTGTAGACAGGGTTCATTCTAAGCGGGGTTTACGGGGCGGCCCGCCCCGTATGCCCTTTTGATATAAAATATCCGCCCTATTGCCCTTTACTCCTTTTATCCCGCCCTGATATAATTGAATGCGCCCTCTTGTGTCCCCTCCAAAAAGATACCACTCTCCTGTAAGAAAGGATTTTTTTGTCCTGTCTCCCCCCCCCCAGCGCTNATTTTTTTTTGGTAATAATTTTGAAATTTTTACTTTAAAATAAATACATATGCCGATTTTTAAAACCATCTATAGAGGGGGATTTAGCGATAAGCTTTTTTTATCTCACTTTCCCATCCCTAGACAAACCAAGCAGATATATTATCGACTCAGGCAGATAATGCACCTGTAAGGTGTCAGTGGGATCAATTTGCATTTACTGTCAGAGGGAATGAGTAAATTTTTCATTATTGGTCAAATGGTGGGACACTAATATGTGTAGATAAGGCCCTCATTTCAACACCTTTTTGCTCTCAGTTCAGTTAAAAAAAGCCTGAAAACAAGTGTCTGAAATTTAACTATGGCGAGCAGTAAACGTAAAACGTTCTCCATTGATGATAAAATGAGCATAATCAGAAAAATTGAAAATGAATGCAATCAAGCTGATATTTGCAGGTGTATGGTTTATTGTAATAGGTAGATGAATGGTGTGTAGAGCAGAAAAAATATGGGATATTTCTAAAAGAGTGCCTGGGAATAATATAGTATCTATAGTAAAAACTGAATTTTCAAATCAGAAATTATTTAACTTTCACAATAAGGGCTTTAATGAATTATTATTTAAATAGATGTAATCACAGTTTTAATAATTATATCGACGTTATAACAAATATAATTTTTAATAAAGTATAAGTGAAAATAGTATTTAATTGTACATGTATATCATTATTTATATTTGACTAAAACACTTATTTATCACATTTAAATTTTTCTTTTAAATCTTTATTTTTTTTTTTTAAATTTAAAAATTGTGATAGCTATAAAGGCTTGACTTTTCATTATTAAAATAGATTTATATTTCATGTTTTTAAAGAGGTTTGTGAAATTACTTTTTCTTTTTTTTAGAACATTTCTTTGCGTTTTCTTTCTATCTTTTTTTTTGGTTTCTGAATACTTTTTAATATATTGCATCAAACAAATAATGCATTAGGTTTAAAAAAAGAAAACAAACAATAAATCACCACCAGTATTTAAACCAATATATTGTTATTTTTTAAAAATTTAAATAATAACATGAATAGATTGTCTTACAGCTACTATAATGTAATCAGAATAGCTACAGCTACCTGCTCTAGAGGGCATTTCTCAGGGAAATCACTTTTCAATCGTATTAATCCTGATATCAGTTCAATTCTATCTCTGTTTTGTGATATTTTGTTCTAATTGTTCCTTGTTAGTGATAATAAAATTCCATTGCATTTTACTCGCAGCTTTTATTTTATAATGAATTAATATAAGAGGCGGGTACACTATAACATAAATATTAAATTTGTCTTATTTTTTTTTCAGACTTTGCTTTATGATATTAGGACAAATAAACCATTCATTGTGAAAGATAATTTATATGGACTTCCTATCAAAAACATTGAATTTATCAAGAATGAAGATCTTGTTGCATCTCTAGACTCAAAATGTGTCAAGTTTTGGAAACAAAATACGGTATGTTTAAATTTTACTTATTCTTGTGTCGTAAATTTTTAAGTAGTCGATTATTTTTTTCTAGCTTTCGAGAGAACCCTTCCGTTTTAAAATTTCAGGACTGTTGCTCTGGATACAAGAGTAAACAATTGTTGTTGTTGTCGTTAGCCAGTAAGACAAAATGGGCGTGATTGCTCTTGTTTCCCAGTGGCGCCATCTATGGCTGAGAATCCGACTTCTGCCACACTCATATGTCACACCCGTTTAGGGCGGATCCATTCACACATCCATTAATTGAACCACAGATTGTAATTTTGACTTGAGGCAGAGAACAATCAATCTTCAAGTCAGTACTCTCAGAGGTATAATTATGGGAACATGGAGGACTTTGTGACTCAACAAATTTAACATGCACTAGTCACCATTTACTTCACGGGAGTCTTAGACCGGCTGTGTTTGACCTCCCATTCTCACCAACGTAATTCCAGCGTCCTGCCAGCCAGGCTATCTTAGCCATGAGTAAAACAATTACTAATGGTAAACAATTGATGAAATAACATTAATCTTTCCGAAGAAATGTGAAATGGTTAATCTCAGATCCCTATTTGAAGTGTCTTATCACTATTTTTTCTTGCACTTAGTTGACTTCTCATAATTATTTCAATAGCCCCATAAGCACAACACTCTTATTTCACTGCTATTATTTTTCTTAAAAAACTATTTATTTTTCTCCAAGCATGGAGGAAAACAGAGCTCTCACATCTTTGTCCAAATCACACAGCTACAAATTCAAGTTTCTCGATGGAAGTATATTAAAGTTTTTCTTTTACAATCTAGATGCAAGAGCTCTCACTAGATGGTGTTGGGGTAGCTCAGAACACTTGAATCTGGTATATGGAGGAGTGAAAGTTATACAATGGATTTTGCCCATATTTCTAAACATACAAATAATATTATTATGTAATTCAAATTTGTTACCATCAATACCTTCTTAAAGTTGTTGTTCTTTTTAACAAGATTGCAATTTCAATTTGATTAAGAATGTTCTTTTATTTGCACCTTTTTGTAAAAGCCCTAATTGTTTTAGGAACTTCAGATTTTGTTCAGTTGAAAAGGATTAAAGTGTTCTAAAGTGAAAAACAACAAAGAATAAAGTACAAATCAAGTACCGAGAAAGGACATACTATAATTTAGCTTTTCTGGACAAGAACTTTCCTTAGTGTCTAAATACTCCATATACCACTGCTAAACTTGAGATTTCTTTTTTAGACACTGAGGAAGGTTCTGGTCTACTGAAACGAAACTATAGTATGTCCATCTCTGTATTTGATTTGTACTTTATTCAAATTGTTTTTCACTATAGTCTAAGTGTACCCTATCATTTTCTATTAAAATTTACTTTGCAAATTATTTCGTTTCCGAAGAGAAAAGTTTTATTTGATTGAATGAAATATATATATATATTTGCCGAATGGCAGGCACTGAACTTTATTTGTTTTGCCTTATAAGATGCCAGTGGTGTTACTCATTTCGCATTACCCAGTGGGCACCTGTAAACCAAAGTCACGGAGGCGAGTAACATTGCCCACACCACACTGCCACAAACCCGTTCATAGGGTGGGCCACATTCACTCATCACACACACCAGAGGACAACACGAGAGAGAAACATTCATGCCTAGAGCTGGATTCGAACCCGCGGCCATTGGCTTCAGGGTCAGGCGCGCTAACTGCTCGGCCACCTGGCCAGCATTCAATGAAATATTTGTCTAATACACTGTTGTTTTCCCTGCATTGTACATACCTTTTACGAATTGCCTATCAAAGATTTTCCTGTGTTAATTTTTCCCCCTATCAAGTTTGCTGAATACAGAAATCCCCCCCCCCCTCCCAAATTTTTTTTTTTGAAAAAAGAGATTTATTTTCTTTGCAGTGTCAATTGTCATTCTAAATTCCAAAAAATGCATGATTTTATCTGCAATATTTTTCAGAAACTAGTTATTATATCATGATTATGTAAAGTTTTTGAAAATGTTTTAGAATTTTATCGATTTTATGTTTATAAATTAAGAACTCTATACGATAAAAAAAAATTTCTATTCCTACACAGATCCTAATTATGATATTTTTTTGGAAAGTGATTAAAAATATTTTTTGAGTGCTTAAAAAGTTCTTAAAAGGTGCTTAATTTTTGTTGAAAAATATGGCTACGCACCCTGATTAAACAATAATCAATCAATAATAATCACTGCTTATTATTTTTTAGGATCTAATTAATCATGGAACGTAAGTGACCATTACCCAGTTTATTCTACACTGAGTGACATTTGCAGGAGTGCAGAATATGTCTGATCACGTGAACAAAGATTGGGGGAAATTTTTGGGGCTCTAAAAAAATTTTGGATCAATTTAAAATTGCTTCAAAATTTTTTAATGTGTACACAGATTAGTAACTTTGCAGTTTTCCTGTTTATTCAAGAATTGTTTGAAATCAAATGGATTTTTTTTCTTTGTTGAAGAAAAAAAGAAAATTATTTGACTCATTCAACCTTTCATTAGAGGTTTATGAACAAAACATTTTTACAATATTCAGACTTTTAAAAATATTTTGTAAAAGTTGTAGCAATTTAAAAAAAAAAATGTAATTTTGGGATAAGTGTCAAACAAAAAATTTATTATTTTTTCTTGGGAAATGTTTGGCTCCCGCGATTTGGCTACTTTTTGTGTGGCCCCCTTTATTGAAACAGTACAATTCATTCAAAATTTTTTTTAGCTACAAAATTTTATGAAAAGTGTTTGTTTCATAAAGTAAGTGAAACAAACAAAAACTATCAAAAATAAATAATGTTGATAAAGGCTTAAGAAACAGGAAAAATTAAATGTAAAAAATAAAGAAAAACTGATCTATTCAAAAACTGTTTAGTGTTTTTGAAAAACATCGAACATGGAGACGTTAAAAATTAGGGTCAAATTTAATTGTTGAAGAGCTAAGAAAACTTTAAAGTAACGAGTGAGAATAGGAGACTACTACATATGTTAAGTGCTTAAAAAATTCTAACTGCTTTATAGGTTATACAGTATAAGTTCTATATAACATAATTATAGAAACCGCAATTTTTTATAAAGCACATTTACTTTACAATCTTAAAAGAAAACCAAAATTAATAAATTTGTTAGATTTATTTCGAATGCTCTTTATAACTTAAATTTTTTTATGCATAAATAATTTTGTGTTGAAATATTTTTATTTAAAAATAATTTAAAAGTAATAATATTGATATTTTCCAGTTATATCTTGCTATGTTTAGTAAATAAGTTATATGATAAGTGAAATGATCTATACTACTAAAAATTCTATGTTATACAAAGCCTCATTTTTCAAGGTTTGCTTTATAAAAGTTTTCTATTATAAAAAAATCTATGCATTTCTATGTTCAGTATCTGTCGTAATAATTTTGTTATTTAAACAAACTTAAAACTCTATATTTTTTTTCCTCAGGGTAAAAATTACACAACTATTCAAACACCTGTGCATCTGAATGACTTGTGTATTGTTCCAAATTCAGGTAACTTTTTATAGATGTATATGTATATATATATTCTGCTTCCAAAATTATGTAGTATTATTTTTGATATTTCTGTGTATATTTTTAGGTCTATTGTTTCTTGCTAATGAAGAGAAGAAAATTCTAAGTTATTTTATACCAGTAAGCTCTGAAAGTCAATTTTAATTTTGTTTGGTTATTAATAGAATATGTTATTCATTTTCTTTGTTTTTGTAACTGAACATACAATGTTTTCCTTAACAGTGAAAAATATTGTAAGCATTAAATTACATATTTTAATTAGAAGTTATTGTTCTGATAATGCCAATTAGAACATAAAACTTACTTGAGTGGCTATTTTACACAAAAACTATGCCATATCATCGATTTTTTAAAAAAAATCTTTTTTATGTGCCTGCGCCTTAAACATTTCTTTATTAGGAATATTTAAAAGTAAATGGAAAATAATATTTTAAATGTATTGAATATTCAACAATAATTTATTTTATTATTAATTAATAAAATTTTGGCATAGGATTTAGTTTAAGTTCAAATGAATGAAATTTTTCAGTATTTTTACTGAACTTTTTTAGTGTTTTCAGTATATTTTTGTGTGCTAATCTCTCTATGTGCTACCAAATTGATATAACTATGCTATTTTAATGTTTCCTATTCTAATTGGTTCACATGTTCTTTGTGTTTTGCATCTGTTTCTTCAGTTTCAATCATTGGTTTCATTGTGCTTTGTAATATCAACATCAAAAGTTCTCTCTTAGTTTTAAATTTAAAAAAAAAATTAAATTTATGTAGTATTATGAACTATATTTCTTAATTACTTTTTAATTTCAGTTAGTTTTACATTTTTAAAGTTTCATATTTACTTATTTTATAACAAGATTGGAGGTGTAGATGAAATATTTTCTAAATCCTTTTTACACATCTTTTAGAATATTGGCCCAGCTCCTAAGTGGTGTTGTTTCTTGGATAACATAACTGAAGAATTGGAAGAATCCAAGCAAGATACTGGTACTGTTTTTTTTATTCAATCCTTAATTAAAACTTTTAAGGGATTAATTTACCAGGTGGGAGGGATTGAATTAATTTTTTATGAACTGATTTGAAATAAAATGGTTGCAGTAATATATAAAGTTTGTTCAACTGTCACAAAAATATGTATTCTCTATTGAGGTTCATAGGACTTTTTCAAAACTACTTAACCAATTGTTAATTTTTGTTATATTTCCAAATGTTTTGTATAAATCCCTAAAACAATGTGAAGGTTAAATATTTTTTCTGAGAAAAAATTATGAAAATTACTACAATTATTATTTTTATTATAATATTAAAGTTAATTTTATTCAGAAGTAATTTGTATGTATTAACTTTTGTTTTCGAATTGCATAACTTTTTGTATGAGATTGATGTGATTTGAAGAAAAGTAAATTAAGCTAATTTACTAAATTCATGATGGCAATAAATAATGTTAACACATCTCCATTCTGTGTTTTAAGTTGAATCAAAGAAGGTGAATAATTATTTAGGTCAATATATTCAACAACAATTCTCAGTAATTTAGATTTCTTAGGATTTATGTATTTTAAAATTTATATGACTATGTGAAGTTTTTAATAACTTTTACTAAAAATAAAATTTAAAAAACTGTCAGATATTTATTGTGTAACCACGAAAGTGTGCATTTTTTAAAATATTTTGTGTTTTCACTTATTAAATTTGGACCTAAGCTTAATAATTGGGACCATATTTGATTTTTATCAAATTTGTTATTCGGGATGTATGTTATTCAGGATGTTATTGTATGTTTTTCTATTGCAGTTTATGATGATTATAAATTTGTCACTAAAAAAGAGTTGGAAGAACTTCATTTAGATCATTTGCAAGGAACAAATTTGCTTCGTGCATATATGCATGGGTATTTTATGGACATCAGATTGTATAATAAAGTAATTATTAATTTCACATAAATTTTTATTTTTAAAAAATAGATGAGCATATTTTTAACTGTTTTAATCTTTCTATTTTTTAGGCAAGATCTATTGTCCAACCAGAAGCTTATAAAGATGTAAAGAAGAAGATGGTTAGAAATAAAATTGAAAGTGAACGAAGGAATCAAGTCATTGTCAAGGTATTTCTTAAATTTTGGATATTTTTTAATGCAAACTTTTTTAATTGTCTAATATTTTATTTATAATTATTATGCACTCTTTTATATGATCCATCATTAGCTGTTTTCAATTCTTTTTTAAATGAGTAATATTGTACTTAACTTAAAACTGCTACACTTTTTCTGATGTTATCGAATGATAGTTATATTGTACTCAAAATTCTCTTCAATGGCTAACACTGTATTTTAGTTAGAACTATTACACTTTTATTTCGTTATCCATATTGAGTGATTTTAGATGTAAAACTTGTTCAATTGTTTGATATTTTCTTAGAAATACGGTACTTTTTGTTAAGTTGCCTTAGATGAATTGAATTTATGAAAAACCTTTAAATATCTGTTTTAAGTGTTTATTGAGGGGAAATCATGTTTAATATTAAAAAATTGCTTCAAATGATGTTTAAGATTTATAATTATTTTTTATTATTTTGCATAGTTAAGTGATTTTTTTTAACTGTCTTACTTATTGGGAAGGGCTTTTAATTAATTTAATATTACCATTATTCACTCCTAAATATTTCAACATTTGTTGGCATATTTGTTTGCTTTTATAACTTTTACAGCCAATTTAAAACTAAATATCTTTATAAATTGATTTGCTTCAATTTTGTATTTTTTTAAAAATAGGATTCATGTATATTAAATTGCTAAATTTTCACTGTACTTAATTTTTTTTTTGTATGGTTATTTAATGCTATTTTTTCCCTAGAAATCTTATCAATTTTTTTTTAACAATGATCACTAGGGTGCCTACCATTTAATGTATTCACTTTGATACCTGAAGGGTTTTATTATACAATAAAGGATTTTGTTGCAGGGCTCCCACGGGTCAGAGAAAATGGGAAAAACCTTAAATTGTCATGGAATTTTATTTTGACTCTAAAAAGTAGGAATAGTCAGGGAAAGATGCATTTTTTTACAAAACCATGGAAAAATTCTGAATCATACCTGGAAAATAACCAGTCTTAGAATTGTCAATAGCAGTAATTAGTTTTTGACATTTGATTACATATTTGATTTAAATCTATTATAATTATTTGTAGTAAAAATTCCACATTTTATTGATATCCACATTTTATTGCTCCATCAACCTTTCATCAATTTAAACCATCAGTTTTCTAAGAAATACCTAAGTAATCCTAAGCATAAAAGAAATTATTTGTTCTTTAAATGAGGTGTAAAGTGGAATACGGCTCTATTGGAATATGGTTTCTTGGAAAGCTGATACAAAACATTGCCATTGAGGGTGTTCAACTCTCAAATTTATCCCGTTTTTCCTAAATTTCTGTTCAATTTCTGAACAAGTGTTTGAAGCAATTTTTTGTGTCTAATAGTCGAATAAATTTCAAGGCTATCACATATAAATGATTCTGTTCTTAGAGATTTTAGTTCAATAATGGATTGATTGCATTATCTAGTGAGCTTACCATTACAAACCAGTAGGTCTTGTATTTTATAATTGTTATCAAGAAAACTGTAAGAAATTTTAGTAATTATAAAAAGTTTGTTTTTTTAGCACTTCTTTTGTCTGTTAAAAGTTGTTTTTTCTTGTCTGTGTAGTTTTTAGAAATTTGTTAAAAAATTATTAATATGTAATTTTTTTTTTTAACTTTCACCAATTTTGCTTGAATTCTAATTTAATGATTTTCTTGAGATTGCCTCTTAAAAAAAATCTTTCAAAATTAATTATGGTAAAAAAACGATCCAAAGTAAATTTTTTCCCCTTGTATCATAGTTTTCTTATAAGAAATATTTTTCGTTTAAATTTTATGCATTATTCGAAATATTTTATGAGCTAATTATAATTTGAGTTCAGAAAATTTTTACTATTTTATAATTGCCAGTCAAGACAAAAAAATTATCATTTTCTACCTCACTTACCATTTTTTTACTTATATAAAATTGTTTTTTAACTTATCATCATTACTAACTAATTCCCTATTTATCAGAATTTATTTTTCTTAATGAATTGTTAACAAAATAATTAAAGTCTGAGAAATCATTCATAAATCAGAATCTATTATCAGAATATTAATATTTTTTTAATATTCTAATTATTAATATTCTGATAATAGATTAGAATAATACTAATCATATCATTTATCTGTTCTAAATATTCGATACAAATATTACAATTTATTAAAAAGAAAGCAATTTTAATTAATTTAGTATTTATTTAAAAAATAATTTTTTTTCCAGCAACTTCCTAATGTCAATAGAGAATATGCCCAAAGACTTCTAGAAATGAAAGCCAGTGATAAGAAGGTAGAATATTTTAATTATTTATAATTAATTTATGAATTTATTTACTGATTTAAAAAAAAACTGAAACTTTTAATAACTAACAATGTACTCTCAGGGTGTGACACCATTGGATGATGATCGTTTTAAAGCTATGTTTGAAAATCCTGATTATGAAATCAAAGAAACCGATGAGGAATATAATCGCATGAAAGCAGTCATAGAGAGAGCAGCCAAGAAGAAGAAAGGTTTTACTGTGTTTGCCAATATGGATCAAATGGAAGCTCTAAAGGTTTGTTAACTTTATGAACCAAGTTTAAATTTTAAACTTTTTTTTCGCATTTTTATCTCAATAAATTTACTTATATTGCAACTTCTTCATCAAAGAGATGAAAAAAAAATTATTGAGTATGGATAACTTCATTTTTATTCTATGAATTAGATCATCTTTGACTTAAAATAAATGTTGTTGTTGATACCCGTGGCAGAATTGTGGCGACGCGCTGACATTGTCGTGGAATGTTACCGATTTCTTGCAGAAAGATTTAACAATTCAAGAAGATTTAATCATCTGAGTTCTTGCAGAAAGATTTAACAATTCAAGAAGATTTAATCCTCTGAGTTCTTGCAGAAAGATTTAACAATTCAAGAAGATTTATTCATCTGAGTTCTTGCAGAAAGATTTAACAATTCAGGAAGATTTAATCATCTGAGTTCTTGCAGAAAGATTTAATCAATTAAGTAAAAAATGTTGCTTTTCTTTTCTGAAGAAATTTTCTAAAGATTTTATCTTTTCAAAAGATGCCTTTCTCGTGCAGCAGAGTGAAAAAATAAATGCTTGTGATTTTTCTATTCTCATTTGAGAAGAATGAGAAATAAAGAATAAATGAAGTAAAAAAATTGGTTTTCTTTTCTGAAGAAATGTTCGAAAGATTTTATCTTTTCTCCAGAAATATATTCAAAAGATGCCTTTCTTGTGACAAAAAGGGTGCTAGAATGCTCTAACTTAAGGAATTTTTAGCTTTGATTTAACAAACAACAATCGCTGCAAAAAAATTCACATATAAAAGCAAAACTTTTAATTTTTCGCTCTTAGAGTTTTGAATATTTCACACCCTAATCCAAGTGTGTAATTATATGTATGTATTATGTATTAAATTTTAAAAGCAAGTAGCTTTAAAGAACTAAGATCATTTTAAAGTTGATTTCTTAATGTAAAACTTACGATTTTTAAGCTCATAGTAAACAACAAGAATTTTTTTTCGTATCTGTATATCTAAGGGCATTGGTAAAAAAACATTGCATTGATGTTTTTATACCATACTATGTACAAAAATTGATATTCGATTTAACAAACTGATTTGTCGGTCTCAATCAATTCGTTAAATCAAGATTTAACTGTATCTTAGGTTAATCTATATTTTCTATTTTTAAATATCTTGCAGTAAGATATTTTAGTATTAGAGAAGCATGTCGCAGAAAGCCTGAAAAAATTCTGCCACATGGTTGCTGATGGTTCCTCTAAAATTTTTTTTTTCAGCATTATATTTTCAGTTTATTTTTACTTTTTAATTCAATGACATGAACAGAAATTTCCATTGGGATATTATTTTATCAATACACTTTGCCCTTTGCAATATTTCAAAAACTAAATTTTTCATCACTTTGAATAACTTTCTGTGCTCAAATTTAATCGTTCCATCATAGGGTTAAATTTTTCAAAAGTAACTTTATGATGAAAGATCATTCAAATACTACACAAGGACCTAAAAGGGGAAGGAGTTTGTGATTTGCTTGACAAGGGGGGTATATAAGCGATGCTTATGTGAGGCATTAAAATCTTCTCCTTATTTTCTTAAATTTTCTTAAAATGCAAAGAAAAAAGAAAATAAATATTACACATGGGAAAAATTTCAAATATGGAATAAAAGTTAAATTCGGGGAATTATAAAAAATTGGGGAAAAAATTCTTCAAAAAGTTTTTTTTGTTACAGAGATTTGAACACTAAAAGAAAATACAAAAATTCATTTTTTTAAAATTCTAATAAAAATTTTATGATTTTATATGTTATTCTAATAAAGAAATTTATAAAGTTAATTAAAAAATAAATTTTATTTCACTGCAGAGGTACATTGTTTATTTGAATTTTATCCTAAAATTAGATTACTACAGTAAAAGTCTAAGTTAAAACAAAAACCAGGAGAGGAGTTTGCTTATTTTTGCTGACAAAAGGGGAGGCCAAAAATTTGCATACGTAATATTTGTTCATCCCCTAAGTTGCAATTGACTCAAATATCACATGAGTAATATATTTGTTCTTATATTTATAAATGTTTTTCTAAATAATTTTTATGGAATAAAAAACTTTGTTCTTTAAATCTATTGGGCCTATGTTGCAAGTAAAAAAATATTCTATTGCTAATTGTTAGAGTTTGGGAAGAAGGTAAAAGGAGATATGTAATCTTCTTTGCATTCTAATTTAACACTTTAAAATATTTTATTGCATTAAATGATAAAGGACAATATTGTATTGTTAGAGTTCTATTTTTATATTCCTTTTTTTTAAACTAGCATTTCTTCTCTTATGATAATGTTTAGATTATATACAGTAAAGCGCCGATTATCCGAACTATGTCCGAATTCTTTATTTTTATTTTTAAAAGTTAAGAATATTTTTTAACTCATCGACAATTTTTCTAAATTTAGAAGAATAAATAATATCCATTACATCTGAAGACCATTTTTATTTTACAACCGTTTTTGATGATGCATGATGATAAAGGATGCCTGGAATGTTGTAAAAACATCGACGCTTAGAAAATCTTGAAATAAAATTCTTAACAGAAAAACAAAAGAAATTGGAAGTTTCTGATACAGCAGAAGAAATAGAAGACTGGTGTCGAGACACTGAAAACGACCCAGGATTTCAAATTTTAAATGATGATGAAATTGTTGCTGAAATTTTGAAAGAAAATCTGTACTCCACAGACGAAGAGGAAGAAGTAGGTGATCAAGTTCAAGATAGTGGACCTTCTCATATAGAAGCGTGCAATTCATTAGATATTGCAATGAATTGGCTAGAACGTCAAAATGATGTTGATCCAATTCAGTTGATTTATTTTAAAAAGAATAAAGGATATGGATGTCAAAAAAGAGAATCTTCTTTGAAACAAAAGTATTTGCTGAATTTCTTTTGCAATGGAAAATAAAGAAAAATGTGGTAAAATAAGTAATTGACAAAAAATTATAAAAAGCTGAAATGTGATTTAAAAAAAATTCAAAATGAAATAAATAAATAAAAATATTTTAAAATTGAAAAAAAAAACCATTTAAACTCTAACAATAAGCTATTTTAGCTATTAAGCTATTTTAGATAGTACTACCAGTCCTAAGTCTGAAAAAAAGTGTTAAAGGAAGTTAGTGCATAAATAATAATCATTTTAACTAGATTTTAAACAACTTTCCAATTATCCGAACCACGTACCGTTCTGAGCGGTTCGGATAATCGGCGCTCTACTGTATTTAAAAGCCTTAAGCTGCTAACTATACTGGATTTTGCCAGTTTCTCTTGGTTTATTAAAAATTCTCCTGGTTTTTCGTATATGTACCTGGTTTTGTACTCTATTTAAAATCCCTATTTAAATAGAATTTTTGCACAATTTATTGCTTGCTTGGATATTTAAATAAGTATTACGATTGCATACTGACCAAGCCTCATTTATGATAATCATTTTAAAGTTTTTCTTTTTTTTGTCCTAAAATTTTCAGTTTATTTTTATTTAGAACTCAGTTTTTAAATTAATTAAAAAATCTTTTAATAAAAAACATTTCAAGTTCATTTAATGTCCATCCTAAATGGAAAACATTGCAGACCATTTATAGTTATTAGGATAATAAAGTTTTGAATTTTGATGACAACAAAGATTCCTAAAATTTCCTATATGTAAAATATTTAGTATATTATGCAACAGTTATTAAGAAATTTAGATTGTTTCGTAAAATCCATTGGGTTTTTCCCTATGTATATTAGCAGCTATGTTTATTATTTTATATATAAGTTTTTTAATAGCAATGTATATTGGAGCTAAGTAAATAATGTATCTTGTATGATTCTGTATAATTACTTCATCTACACAATTTTATAAAAGTTTTAATTGCAGTCCTAGTCCTTTTCAAATAGGCACAAGTCATGACTTTTGGTTAAGTCATAACTTAATTTTTAGGAGGTTATATTTAATTAATTAATGTAAAATTATTTAATCAGGGGTCTTTCCAGACATTTTGTGAAAGGTCCGGTTTTTGTGAAATTGTGAAAAAATTACTCACATTCTTTCAACCAGGCTCCTGCTTTTATGAATTTGTGTAAATAGGGTCCGGTTATTGCAAAAAAATCTTTCAAGGAGTTTTTAAATTGTAAATAGATTATGCTTAGCACTGTGAAATTATAATAAAAAAAATTAAATTTTCAAAAATAAACAGCAATTGCTGTTTCTAAATTAGAGATGCAACATACAAATATTTGGTATTTAGCCTATACTGCTGAACGCAGAATATTAATTTCGGATGAATAATAGAAGAATCGTCTACCGAAGACAAAACTTAATTCGTTTTTATCCATCTTTTTTGTTTTCTGCCCTGGGAGGGATTTATTCGATTAACACAACAATAATGAAGATAAACAGATTTGTGAAGGGTACGATTAAAAGAAAAGTCATTTTGTGAAGGGTCCGTTTTTAAGTTAAAATATTTTGTAAAGGGTCCATTTTTATGAAAAGATATTTTGTAAAGGGTCCGTTAACGGACCCAAATTTCTTCTAAACAGACCCCTGTTAATGAAATATAATTCTATTAGGATGAAGATAAAAAGAAGGAAGATTATACCTCTTCAGAAGAAGAAGAATCTGAAGAAGAGGATGAGCCTGAAGAAGATTTGGAGGATGAATCTGAAGAAGAATCTGAAGCTAAACAGAAACCGTCTTTCAAGGCTGTTGATTCAGATAGGTTTAGCTTACTAAACAAGGATAATGAAGAAGAAGATAAAATGTAAGTTCATTTGACTATAAATTTTATGAATTTATTTCATATACTGTATTATTGAAATCTAAATTAGTTAAATTGGAAAACCCACATCATATACAAAGATAAACAAATTTGGAAATCCATAAAATGGACATATTATTCACATTGCTGTAATTAAATATGGATATATCCAGTTTTATTTATTTGTGTTGTATTTATAAGCTTCATGTATAGCTATCAGGTTAAAATATTTATCACTCATGTTACATATATGTTTCTGTTAGGTTAAAATGTGAATGAATTTTCACATGGTGATACAATGTGTACTCTTTTGATTGTCTATGTGAAGTATTTTAAATTTCACTACCTTTTTTTGGCTATAAATCTTGACCACCTAATATAAAAATTTAGTTCAGAGACGGCAAATCTGTGACCATGGTGCGTAACGTTTTTAAAAAAGCCCTTAAAGGTGCTTTTTTATTGCGTGTTTTTAAAAAGTAATAAATTTTCTCTTTTTGAAATTGTGATTTTTTCTATAGCATGGCGATTTTTGCCACATATTATTCAGAAATGTGGTTTTCACATTGTTCAATTCAACGTTTTCTATTCAATACGATGAGTTTTGGCGAAAGTGTCAATCATTTTATTTACATGTTTGACGAAATACTTGCGGGTTCGCATGTGCGTATACTGAGCTGGGTTCAGTAAGGTTCTTGCACTCTTATGTGCAAATCTGCTGCATTTTGCACCATATTCTTAATTTCAGGCTTCATTTTCCTTTTTCTAAAATCAAACAGAAAAATCTCTCAATCTTTTATGGTGGCTAATATAATAAAGAAAGGAGGTCTTTGTCAGAAACTAGGTATTTTATCATGATCATGCAAATTTTTTGAAAATTATTTTGCATTTTGTTAATGTATGTAGAGTCTAAAAATATTTTTTAGTGCTTAGAAAGTATTTAAAAGGTGCTTATTTTTTGTTGAAAGATTTGGTTACACACCCTGTGGGTCATATGATCCACTAGGTGACTTGTGGCAAGTATTTCAGTTATATTAAGGAAGTGTACATTAAATAACTTATATTCGCCAACATTGAAGAAAAAAAAACATGCTATAATACATATCTGCATTATAGATAAAAATAAATACAATTTTCTGACACTTTCCTGGATGTAAACTTATCTGTAATACTCCTCTACTATGAACGTTCATTGTAAGAAGTGCAATAAGGTATAAAGTATATGAAAAAAAGTTCTTGTAAAAAGTACTTGCATGAATTTTATAATAGGTAAAGAAATAACCCAAGCTGAATTACAATTGTAACTTTGCATAAGGTTAGGAACAGATGTTTTAGCTATGAATTCTCTGTAGTCAACCATAAAAACTCGCTTTGTTTCAGATTTAGATGATTCTTGTTAGAATTATTAAAGAAAACTAGTTATGACCCAAATATAAATGTGTGATAACTTGTATGTCTGATAACTTTTGTTGTACTAAATGCAATTAAATGCAGGAAGGTTTTTAATGTATATGTTTACAGTACTCAATGGATGTATTTTAAAATGTAAAAATATTGTTTAGTTAATGCATATTTAACATCTTTAGACAAAAAAAGGAAAGAAAACATCTAAAATAATTTGTCTTGTATTTTCTTCTATCAATTACTGAAAAGGGATTTTTTGCCTTAGTATATTTTGCCTTGATGCAAATATTTTAAAATACTCTTTATTCCATTTTCATTTGAAGCAAGTTAATTTTTAAACTGCATACTGTAGTTTGAAATTACAAGTGTCAATTTAGTGGTAAAAATTACTAGTAGTTTAATAGTAAAAAATTACAAGTGGCACTTTAAACACCAGAAAATAATAAGCTATAATTTAACTGGCACGCTAATTAAAAATGTTTGTCGCATGAGTGTCTCAGGGTTTAAATTTTTCTGCGGAATAAAATTAAAATACACAGTCGTAATATTTTTCTAAATTTTACACAGAAAAAAACAAAAAAACAATGTCTTATATCTGTTAAATAATGGCGAAAAAGATTGATTAATATTTTGTTTGTTTGTAACTTTGAATAATTTAAATTGATGATAATTCATGAAAATTTTCCTTATTTGACTAAAATATTAAGGGGAACTTTTTGAGATTCTTTTTAATTGAGGGGGGACATATGACCACCATTCCCTTCGCCAATGACGCACATATTTTGACCTCTTTAAACTAGAGAGTTGTATTACTCTTTAAAAAAAATGATATTATATGTTTGACTTTAATTTTAATCAAAAGATATCAGAAGAAAAGGATTTTATAATGGTTTAAAAAATTTCCATAAGTCTTTTCCTGAATTAAATTACTAAATTTTGGTTGCTATGTTGAAATGATCATTTCAATGTGGACTCAGTAATGGTCGAAAGAATAGCATTGTGTCTATAAAAAAAACAAATAATACTTAAATGTATCAGTCGTTATAATGTAAATGTCACTACAATGGTCCTAATGAAGATCGCAGACTGCGTATATAATTACATGTTTGTCAAATAAGATTATAATTTTTTTGTTAACAAAATATATTCATATTTTTATTAGAAGACCTTTCGTCCTCTTTACATCAATGCATAAAATAATTTATTCAGCAACATTAATAATTTATTTCTTGACAAAACTGAAGTGGATCATGTATTTAAGGTTGTTTATTATAAATTTAGTCTCATATTGTTCCACATCAATGTTTCACTCTATTTTAATTTATTCGTTTAAGTAAAATTAAAAGTTTATAATTATTGAATGTTTTAATATAGGGTACCTATTGAAGAAAGGTTGAGAAATTTTACTTCATCAGCAAAAGCAACCGAATCTAAAGGTGGCAACAAAGAGTTAACCTTTACGCTAAAAAAGGTTTGTTATAATTGACTCTATATTAATGTAACTTATTTTAATATAAATGTTTTATGTTATTGTATTTATAAAAAAATTGTTATGGCTTGCTAAAGTTTTTTTGTATAAATGTTTTAAATAATATTTAAAATTTATATTCCGTAATGTAATTTATTTCTTTTAAAATTTTCTTTGTTGTATTATGTGTGAGCAAAACCATCCATTAGAGCCATATGTGATTGCTCATAGCATCTCTGAAATTGCAGAACAATCTGCCTAATATTTCTGTAGAAAGTGAATTTCTGAAAAAATGAAACTCAAAATGTGAAAATATTCAGTGACTTTCGCTACAAAGATTTGTATTCATATATATATAT